GGGAAGCATGGGGGGTCCCCCCTCCCCTCCCCGCCCCTCGCCACCATGCGCCGCACCCCCCTCTGCACCCACCATCACGCCCCGCGCCGTAAGCGCCGAGTCGATGCCCGCGGCCACCAGCACGCGCTGGAAGCGGCGCGCCGCCTCGTAATACCCCCAGTCCGTCATCTGGGCAAAGCGCTCGATGGCGGCGCCCTGCAGCGGGCGGCGGGGGAGCAATGATGGCAGCAGGTGTGGATGCAGCGTTGGCGGGAAGCGGGCGTCGAGGACGGCCAGCATTCTGTAAGCCAGGCGCGTCGGCAGCCAGCTGCGCAGCGGCAGATTGGGCGATCCAGGGCCGAGCCGAATCGGGCCGCACGCAGCTCGGCGGCGCGCCCCGGGCAGCGCTGCGCGTGTGTGTAGATGTACATCAGCGCGCCGCCGCACCCGCACGATCCAGACACGCGGCCCTGCCAGGTCCGCCTCAATCGTGAACTCCCCGATCCTGGCCTGGTTGTCGCGCTTGCCCGGCAGCACCGCCGCCGCCGCCGCCGCGCCGTCCTCAGCCTCCTCGGGCTCCTCCTCCTCGGGCAGGCCGTCCAGCACCACCCGCACCGCACGCACCAGCTCCGTCACGCCGCGCCCGCTGACCGCACTGCAGGAAGGCAGGCGGGGCGGGGAGGGTGGGAGGGCGGCGGGCGCGCCGTCGGATCGCGAGCCCAGGCGGGATGCGCCTTGCGGCACGGCGCCTGCGCCTGCAGCAGCAGCAAGCAGCGGGTGCCAGCATGCCAGCAGCAAGCAGAGGGTGCCAGCATGCCGGCAGCAAGCGGCGCGCGCCTGATGGCAAAGATGCTGCCTGGCGGCACCCCCTCCGCCGCCAGCCCCTCCCGCACATCCTCCCAGTAGTCGCTCGAGTCGGGCACATCCATCTTGTTGTAGGCCACAACCTGCGGGAGAGACGAGGGGGCACCCTTCGGTGACGCGATGGCGGCGACGACGCCGGCGGCGCGCAGCGGGGACGGCGTGGAGGCGTACAGGGGGGCAGGGGCGGGGCAGGGAGGCAGCAGCCCGGCGCCAGGGCTCCCCCACCCCGCGCGCCCCGCCTTGCGGCCGCGCCCACCTGCGGCTTTGCTGCCAGCTGCGGGTTGAACAGCTCCAGCTCCTGGCGGATGGCGCGGTAGTCCCCCATGGGGTCGGGGCTGGTGCCGTCCACCACGTGCACCAGCAGGCGGCAGCGCTGGCAGTGGCGCAGGAACTGGTGGCCCAGCCCCACCCCCGCGTGCGCCCCCTCCAGCAGCCCCGGCACGTCTGCAATGCAGGCGGGGGCGGGTGGGGATCAGGGGCGGATGCGGGATGAGCAAGGCATGTGCATGCCGCCCGCCGATCGCCTGGCCCAGGCATGGCCCGCAGCCTGCACGCACGGCGGCCCTGGGGGGCGCCCTGCCCGGCGCCCACGCGCGCAGCGCCGGCGGCGCCGCCCACCCGCAAACACGGTGGTGCGGTAGTCCAGGTTGCACACGCCCAGGTTGGGGACCAGCGTGGTGAAGGGATAATCAGCTATCTTGGGCTTGGCCGCGCTCACCACGCTGCAGGGGGGGCAGGGCGAGGAGGAGCGCGCGGCGCAGCATAGCACAGCACAGCAGGGGGAGGGGTGTTGACCGGCAGCCGGGGCGAGGCGCGAGGGAGCGGCAGCCGTGCCGCGCAGGCGGCTTAGGCGGCAGCTGCCCAGCCCCGGCGCCACCCACGTACATCACAAACCAAAGAACCGCCTGCCCACCTCAGCAGCGTGCTCTTCCCGGCGTTGGGGCAGCCGATGATTCCCACATCCGCCACCAGCTTCAGCTCCAGATCGATCCACACCTCCTGGCCCTGCACACACACACACGAGGCAAGGCACGGCGACAGCTGGGCAAGGCGCCAGCTGGGCGCGTGCCTCCCACACCATGCTGGCTGCCAACCCCAGGGCTGGCCGCTGCACTGCAGCGGGGGCTGGCCGGAGCCCAGGCCCCCGCTGTCCTGAAACACTCCATCCCACCAAACATGCGCACGCTCCCACACACACGAGCACACACACACACGCACACACAAGCAGCCTCCCCACCTTCTCCCCAAACTCCGCCAGCGCGGGCGCCGTGTTGCGGGCGGTCTTGAAGGCCAGGTTGCCGCGCCCGCCGCGCCCGCCTGGCGCCACCAGCGCGCGGTCCCCCGGCCGCAGCAGCTCGTGAAGAACAGGCGCCCCCTCCCCAGCACCCCGCTCCCGCACCGTGGTGCCCGGCGGCACGCGCACCACCAGGTCTCGGGCGTTGGCGCCGTGCATGTCGCTGCCCTGGCCGGGCACGCCGTGGTCCGCCCTGCAGCAGGAGGAGAGGAGCAGCCACGGCGGCGGCACATGCTCAGGTTGGGGCCGCCCACACGAGGCGCAGCCCCCACGGCACCCTGCTGCGGCCAGCCAGCTGCAGCTCTGCCTCCAACACGCCACCACCACCGCGGCGCCCCGCGCTGCCCCTCCCCGCCGCCCCCCAGCCGCACCTGAAGTGCACTTGGCGGCGGAAGGCCATGAGGGAGTTGAGCGCCGGGTCGGCTTCCAAGTACACGCTGCCGCCGTTGCCGCCGTTGCCGCCCGAGGGGCCGCCCCGGGGCACGTACTTCTCGCGGCGGAAGGCCACGCAGCCGCGGCCGCCGTCGCCACCCTTGACGTAGATGCGGGCGGTGTCGAAGCAGCGCACCTCGGCGGGCAGGCGCTTGCCTGCGGCGGGGGCCGAGGTCGAGGCGCCGCCGCCCTCCTCGTCGCCGCTGTCGTAAGAACCACGGGCTGACCCCGACGCCGCCTCCTCCGCCTCCAGCCGGGCCAGTGCCTCCTGCTCCTGCTCAAAGGTCACCCAGGTGGCGGGGGGGCCGTCGTCGTCCAGATCCAACAGCTCGCCGTCCCCGCTGCTCCCCGCCGGCTGCCAGTCATCGCCCTCAAACGCCTCGCCCCCCAGCGCCAGCTGCGGCGGGTCCTCCGGCGGCGCGGTGGCCTGCAGATGACTAAGGAGGCGGCAGGGATGCTGAAGGGGAGCTCGATGGGATATGCAATTACTGTAGGAGCGCGCGTGCTGCCTGCCGCTAAGCGGTGCCGCCGCCGCCAGTGAGGTGCCCATACCTGTTGCGTCCTCTTGCCGCGCATTGCCCATGTGATGGCCTGGGAGCCGCGCCTGGCCCTCTGCAAGCCCTGGGAGCTTGCAGGCGCACACACATGCAAGGGCTGCCGAGGTGGGGCACCCACGCAGGGCACCACGCCCGTGGGCGCTGCCATTTTTATATGAAAGCAACTGCTCGCAACACGTTGGTCTGGCGAAGCAGCCCTGCGGTGGTTATCGGGGCAGAGTTTGCCTGGCGGCTGGTCCGCTCCTGCTGCTCGGTACTCTGGATGGAGTTGTGGGCACTACGTCTACAATTATTTGTGTGTCTTGCATGGCTGTTTCTTGCAAAGACATTTTTTGCGCCCTGCCAGCCTGGCACCGACACCCTGAGCCACAGTGTTTCTGAAAGCTGGCGAAATCGCCAAATGCTGGCGAAATCGGGCAAAAAACGGCTCTGGCTGGCGATTGGCCGAAGGCCATCGCCAGCCAGAGCTGGCGAAATGAGGGCAGGCGGCAGGGCATGGTCGCCAGCCCGTCGCCAGCCCCCATGACTGGCATCGCCAATATATTGAGGGAAAATGGCCAAATTTCCTCAGGAACTTCATTCCATAGTGTTAAAAAAGCGCCAGCTTTCTGGGGGCTTCGCCCCCAGTCCCCCATAAAGGGAGGCAAGTGCCGACAAAGCAACGGCGGCACCGCATGCGTCCGCTGCGCCGCGCCAGGCGCAAGGGTGGTTCCCCCGCATTTCGCCAACCCCCACTGTGCCATCGCCAGTTGATTGGCGAAATTTGGATGCGACAGCGGTCCTCATCGCCAGCCCATCGCCAACGCTGCCACGAGGGCCAGAAACACTGCTGAGCCAAAACCCGGGGTTGGCAGACCTGCCATCGCCTGCAATGCAATGAGATCGAAGCGTTTGGCGCTGCTAGCGCTCCTGACTCTGCTGCTGGCCTGCGCCACTGTGCGGTGCCAGCAGGGGCCGGGGGAGGAGGCTGAGGACCTGGAGGAGGAGCCCAAAGGCAAGGGGGTGCACCAGCCGCTCGGTGTTGCCCGCCCCAGTGGAACAAGGGCTCTGCGGGCGTGTTGCGCGAGTGGTTGATCCGATGTTGGTAGCAGCGTTACGAGCTTCTCTGGCGTGCCGCCCGCTGTGTTGCAGGCAAGCCAGCCACCGCCGCAACTGGCCAGCGCGGCAAGGCGGCGGGAGCGGTGGGTGTGGCCGAGAACGAGGAGGAGGCGGAGCCGCTGGAGGATCCCGACCCTCTGGTGGACGAGGCGGAGCAGAAGAAGCTGGATGAGGCTCTGTCCAAGGAGCTGAAGCTGGTGGAGCAGGCGCAGGCTCAGCGCCAGCTCAACGCCACCGCCGCCAAGCAGCTGGTGGTGCACGCGGCCATCGTGCCAGAGGCGCCCCAGGCTGTGCTGTGGGCTGGAGACGCCGATGTGGCTACCACAGGTGGGGGAGAGGCGGCGGTGCAAGAAAAGTCGAGGGTGGCATGACGGCGTGGCGTGCATGGCTGAGCCCCGGGCAGGGATGGGGGCCACCACGATTTGATCTGATACGCATGCCTGCTCCCTGCCTGCCTGCCTGGCCTGCAGGCGCCTGCGAGGACGACATCGAGCGCTTCTGCGCCAAGGTGGAGCCGGGGGAGGGGCGCCTGTCGCGGTGCCTGTCGGCGCAGATGGAGGCGGAGGCGGGGGGCGATGCCGAGGGTGAGCCAGAGCGGGGGCGTCGCTCAGGCGCATGGCCAGGGCTGTCGCAATCCTGGGATGCATGCCACTCCCCCTGTGCCCGCCACGCTCACGCCCACCTCCTCCCCACCCCCACCTGCATCTGCATCCCCTGCATCCGCTCGCCACACCCTGCCCGTCTGCCACCGCACCACGTGCTTTCACCGCCGCCTCCACCGCCACCCCCTGCTGCCCCGATGGCCCTGCGCCTCCCCCGCAGCCGACGACACCGTATCTGGCGAGTGCCGGCAGGAGCTGGCCTCCTTCAAGGCGGACCGCGCCACCAACGTGAACAAGGACGTGCCGCTGGCGCTGGCCTGCCGCCGCGACATCCGCCGCCACTGCCGCCCCAAGAGCCTGAGGAACGGCCCGGCCGCCATCATGGACTGCCTGCGCAAGAAGCGGAAGAAGGTGTGGGGGGCGCGGCTGGGGCGGCCAGGGGCTGGCACGTGCCAGTGGCAGGCCGTTTGATGCAATAAAAAGCTGCCAGGCCCGAGGCTGGGGGCCTCATGCTGGGCGCCCGTCCCGCCCGTCCCGCCCACCCGGGGCTGCCACCCTCCCGGGGCAGCCCAGCTGCTGGCCGCTCAGTGCGCCTTGTGCTTCCTCTGGCTGACCTTGCCCTGCCTCGCCGCCCGGCGGCCCACCCCCGCTGGCGCAGCTGTCTCGCAAGTGTGCGGGGGCGGTGTTTGAGGAGGAGGAGGAGGAGGCTAAAGACTTCAGGCTCAACTTGCAGCTGGCCAAGGCATGCGGGCAGGATGCAGGTGCGCAGGGCGGGCAGGGCGGTGATGGCAGGTGGTGGCGGTGCGTGGTGGAGCGTGTGCGGTGGTGGGGCGGCAGGCCCGTGTGCTGGATGGCCACACGCCGCCCCCCTGGGCGCTGGGCTGCTGACCGCGGATTGGGCCACCCTCAGTCCCCCTCCCCTCCTCCTCCCTCCCCGCAGAGCTGCTGTGTGCCGACGTGGACCCAGAGGAGGAGGGCGCAGCCACAGAGTGCCTGGTGGGCGACGTCTGCGCCTGCCGCCACCACAGCCTCGCTCCCTGCTCGCCTGGCTGCCCGCCCGCTGCCCCGGCCTGCCTGCTGCCCATCCTTCCTGACCTGCCGTGCACGCTGTGGCTCCCCCCTGCCCGCCTGCCCGCCTGCCTGCTCGCAGATCGAGAAGCGGGAGTACGCCAGCGTGTTTTGCCAGGAGGAGCTGGAGCGGTGGGAGGTGCAGCGCGCCGACGACGTGCGCCTCGACCGCCACCTCTATCATGCCTGCTCCGCTGAGCTGCGCAGCGTGTGCGCCGATGTGGAGCCAGGCGCGCGAGAGGGGAGGGGCATCGCGGGCGCGAGGGTTCTGCACACATGTACACACATGGCGGGATGGCTGGCCGGGCCGGGCAGGTGCGATTCGGGGTGCCGAGCTCTTGCGCGGCGTCCCTGATGGCCGCCGCCCTCCGCTGCCCGCCTGCCTGCCTCCCCGCCTCCTGCGGCTGCAGGGGACGGCCTGATGGAGGAGTGCCTGCAGGACAGGCGGGAGGGGGGCGGCTTCTCGGCGCGGTGCCGGCACGCGGTGGAGGCGCGCATGGAGCGGCAGGCGGCCGACTTCCAGCTCAACTACGGGCTGAGGTGGGGCCTGGCGTGTGCGTGTGTGTGGGTGGGTGGGTGCGTGTGTGTGGACTGTGCGCTGGGATGCGTGGGCTGTGTGCCCCGGGGGGGCGGGCTTGTGTGTGGGTGGGCCTGTGTGGACTGTGTGCTGGCCGGATGTGCGGGGCTGGGTGGGCTTGTGCGGGGCTGGGCCTGGCATGCCGGGCTTGGTGGCCTGGCGGGCAGGCTGCCGGCAGGTGGCTCTCCATTTGCGTGGGCTGCGCGGCAGAGGCCGCCGCTCGTGGCGTCGTGGCCCGCCTCACACATTCATGCGCGCCACCCGTTGCCCGTCTGTGCGCGCAGGGAGTACTGCGCGGACGACATTGAGGAGCTGTGCAAGGAGCAGGCGCAGCAGATTGCCATGGCTGAGGGGTATGGCGCGGACAGCCAGGTCATCGCCTGCCTCGAGGTGGGTGGGTGGGTGGGCGGGACCGGCTGGCAGGGACACGGCAGCCAGCAGGACAGGAGCCTGGGGAGGCAGCTGGCGGCGACAGGGGGTGCAGGTGGTGGTGGGCGTGTGGCTGCTGCCCCCTTGGCAGTCTGGTGGACCCATGCCCCGCCCCCCGCTGCCCCGCTGCCCCACCGCCCGCAGACCCAGCGCGAGCGCATCACCAGCAAGCGGTGCCGTGAGGGGGTGCACCGCCAGATGGAGCACGAGGCCGAGGACATTCGCTTCGACCACCAGCTGGCAAAGGCGTGCCACAGGTGGGGCACGGGCGGGACAAGGGTGGGATGGGCCTGGCTGGCCGCGGTCGGTTGGGCGGCGCGGGGCTGGTGGCGGCGGGGGGGCAGGCTGGCCCTGGCGAGGAGTGTTGCCGATGAGGGGGAGTCGCCTGGTTGGGGAGCGGGCAGGGGATGGCGCGCTGCCCTGGCCTGGCCCATGCCTCACACAACCCCCGCTGCCCCCTTGCGCGCCCCCTGCCCTGCAGCGACGTCAAGCTGTTCTGCGCGCAGGTGGTGCCCGGCTCGGCGCGCGTCATCCACTGCCTGCAGGACAACAGAGACAGGCTGGCGCAGGCCTGCTCCTCCCAGCTGTTCGACCATGAGGTCATGCTGGCAGGTGGGCAGGCCTGGGCGGGGTGGCTTGGCCTGACGCTGCAAGCGGGCACGCGGGCAGCAGCATGCCCCGCATGTGCGGCGCCCTCCGCGCTGCCGCTGGCCCCAGCGCATTCGTCTGCCCTACCCGCCTCACCCGCCTCCTCACCTGGCTCGCTCGCCCAGCCGCCCACACCCAGCTCACCCATCAGCCACACCCTCGCTCCCCACCCCACACCCACCGCCCACACCCACCGCACCCCACCCCACCCCCCCGTGCTGCAGAGGACATTGACTTCAAGTACCCGCTGCGCCGGTCGTGCGTGGTGGAGATCGACATCTTCTGCGCACGCGTGCCCCACGGCCACGCGCGCATCGTGCGCTGCCTGCAGGTGCGCGGGCGCGGGGGGCGGCGGCGGCGGCGGTTGTGGGCGGTGTGGAGTGCGGGCAGGGGCGCCCTGTCATCTGCCAGCTCGCTCGCGCAGCGCAAGAAGCATCCTGGTGCAAAGGGAGTGCCTTGCTGGCTTGCTGGCGCTGCCTGTTGGCATCACATGTACTGCCTGCTGTACTGCCTGCTGTACTGCCTGCAGGACAACCTGGAGGATGGCGAGATGTCTGTGGAGTGCAGGGAGGAAGTGAGGCGGGACCAGGTGGGTAGCGCCCCAGGCCGGGGCGGGCAGGGAGCCACGGCCCGCCCCTTCCGGCCTGGCCAGGCGGAAAACTGGTGGCAGCCGGAGCTCCGCAATGCCGAGCGCATGCCAACACGCACACACGCACCATCCTGCTCCACAGTTTGCCTCCTCAATCGATTATCGGCTCAACTACCGGCTGAGGAAGGCCTGCACCGCAGACGTCGCCTCCCTGTGCAAGAGTGAGGGCACGCCGCGCTGCGCCACCTCAGCCGCCGCTGCCGCTGCCGCGCCGCCGCCGCTCCCGCGACGCTCTGCAGCGCCGCGTGCGGCACGCCCCCAGGTTGCCTGCTGGCCCGCCTGCGCCAGCCACGCCGGGCCTCCCAGCACGGCGCGCTCAAGTGCCGGCCGTGCACTCCCGCCTGCCCGCCTGCAGGCGCCCAGCAGATGTGCCTGGGGCGGCAGTGCCTGGGGCAGGTGCTGGACTGCCTGCGGGAGAAGCAGGAGGAGCTGCGGGGGGAGGAGTGCCGCCACGAGGTGTTCAAGGCAATGGAGATGGAGGCAAGCAGGGGGATTGGAGGGAGGCGGGCAGCCACCTGCCTGCCTGCCTGGGGCCTGCTCGTCTCACCGCTGCTGCTGTGGCCTGCTCCTCTCACCTCACCTCACCTCACCTGCTGGCTGACACGCTGGCTTTGTGTGCATCTTCGTCCGCCTGCCGCGCTATTGCTTGCTCACTCCGCCGGCACCTCCCCCCACACGCACAGCCGCACATGTGCACACCACCGCCACCAGTCATGCACACCCGCCCGCCCTCCCTCCCCACAGGCCGCCGACTTCCGAAACGACCACCAGACCCGCCAGGCGTGCGAGAAGGATGCGGAGAGGCTGTGCCGGGGCGTGGAGCCGGGGCAGGGGCGCATGCACCGCTGCCTGCAGTCGCACCTCTTTGACCTGAGGTGGGGGCAGGGGGGCGGACAGGCAGGGGGCAGGCAAGGGCTGGGGCAGGGGAGGTTGTATGCACAAAATGCATGGCTGGGCTCTGCGGCAGCCCACCATCTGTGGGCATGAGCATGCGCAGCCAGTGGCCCTGAGGGAAGCAGCTTCCCCGCAAGCCCCCGCCTGCGCTGGCGGGTGCGCTCAGCGGGCTGCCCCGCCCCCGCTGCCGCAGCCCCAAGTGCCGGCAGCGGGAGCTGCGGGCCACCATCCTCCAGTCGCGCGACATCCGCCTGCAGCCGGCCCTGATGGCGGCCTGCTCCCAGGAGATGGCGGTGTACTGCGAGGAGGTGGAGCCAGGTGGGCGGTGGGAGTGTGTGTGTACGTGGAAAGCGGATTGGGGTGTCAGGTGCCTCCCTGCTGCATGCCCAAAGCGGCATGGTTGGGCACAGGGCTGCGCTTGCGTTGCGAGCTGCGGGGAGGCCTGCCCTGTCGATTCACGTATCGCCGACGGCCCCAGCCTGTGCGCCTGCCTGGCCGGCTGCCCCTCTGCAGCCAAGGGGCGGATGCAGCGATGCCTGGCCGAGAATATGAGCAAGGGAGGGTTCAGGTGGGCGCCCCGCCAAGCGCTGCGGCAGCCTCTGCCTTGCCCGGTGTGCGGCGCTGCGGCCTCGCCACTCCAGCTGCGCCCCACCCCCATGCCATGACACCTTGGCAGCAGCCTGGTTGTGTGCCGTGTGCGGGCTGCGCTGCCTCCCTGGAGCCCCCTCTCTCCCCACCTTCGCGCCCACCCTTGCACCTCCTGCCCCACCGCGCACCTCCTCCCACGCTCTGCAGCAACGAGTGCCGCCTGGAGCTGAGCGGGCGCATGGGGGGCGCCCAGGTGGACTATCGGCTCGACTACGGGCTGTCCACCTCGTGCCGCGTGGATGTGGAGGCTCTGTGCAAGGCAGAGGCGGCGGAGCAGAAGCCCGGTGGCGTGCTGGCCTGCCTGGCTGCCAAGTTCAAGCTGCTGGCAGGTGCGGCGGGGCAGGGTGGTGCAGGATGATGGTGTGTACGTGCGTGTGTGAAAAGCACGCAGCAGTGCAAGGCAGCTTGCCCATTGTTGCACCACGGAGCTACCTGCCCCAAGCTGCCTGCCCTGCTGTGGCTACGGGCTCGTCCCTGGCGCTGCGAGTGCGGCGGCCGCCGCTGTGTGCAGCGCCCTAGCTCATTCGTGCCCCCCCCGTCCCGCAGAGCCCTGCCAGGACGAGCTCAACCGCTTTGTGCGGCTGGCGCTGTGGAACTACCGCAAGGGGGGCGCGCTGACGCGGCAGTGCGACGCAGATGTGCAGGTGGATGCGCTGAGGGGGCCTGCTGCCGGCAATCCCGGCTCGGACGGGTTGGCGTGCTGGAGCGCCCGCCGACCCTGCAGCGTTCCTTGTGGGCATCAGCATGCACATGGTGCTGCTGACGGCTGCCCCTGCGGCTTTTCTGCCTGTTTCCCCTGGTGCCCGCAGGCCCGCTGCCCGGCAGCTGCCAAGCAGCAGCAGCGCGGCATGTTCCGTGGCGGTATGGTCGGCAAGTGCCTGGCCAAGCAGGTGGTGCAGGGGCACCAGCTGGCGGGCGGCTGCCGCACGCTGGTGCTGGTGGCGGCGCCGCGCAACGTGCGAGCCATGTTTGACCGCAGCATGAGCCTGGAGGCGGTGGCGGGCAAGGTGGCGCAGGTGGGCACGCAGCGGGGGTCAGCAGGGGGGAGGGGGCCCTGGGGTTGTGATTCTTGGTGGCGCTGAGCAGGCCTCCTGCGCATCCCTGAAACATGGCTTGCTGGCCCGGTCTCAGGCATGTGCCTCAGCCGCCGACCGGCAGCTTCATTGCTCCTGCGCCTCGCCGTGCTCCTGCTCCGCGCCGCGCAGATTGCGCACGCTGCGGGGCTGAGCGCCGCGTTTGTGGACCCAAAGGCGCGCGGCATGCATGCCATCACCGTCACCGGCTGGGTGGCCGTCGCCTGCGTGTGCGCCATGGTGCTGGTGGTGCTGGGCATGCTGACGTTTGCGCTGTGGCGCTGGTCCTGCGGGGTACGGCGCCAGCACCAGTACGCCGCCGTCGGCAGCTACAAGCAGGGCGATGTGTAGGAGCGGCGACGTGTGGAGAGGGAGCAGTGCTGGGGCTGGCAGGCCGGCGACTGGCCGGGAAGCGCAGGGATTGCACCCCCTTGCTTGCCGCCTTGCCATGCTATGCGCTTGCATGGTCCACTTGATGCGTCACTTGTGTCAACATCACTTGTGTCTACATCATTTTGATGCACAGAAGCACGGCAGGCAGGAGGCGGTGGCGGTGCACCACCCGCAGCCAGCGGCGGACGCCCTGTATCAATTTGCCATGATCCGGCTGGCATGTACTGCATCAAACACCCCGCGCCCCGGAGCTGTCTTTTGTTAGGTGACGGTGTCCCATGCTGAGGTGGAACCCCCGCGGCCCACCCAACAGAGCTCTCATCACTCATCTTCGCGCGGCTAAGAAGCTGATCGTTGCCTATCACCTGAATTGCACAACAACTGAGGGCTGAGCCGCGCTGTTCAAGTCCCGACGCGTCATGGCTTGGAAGGCTGTCCTGCTGCTGCTCGGGCTTCTGGTGCCTGCGGCACTGGCCGCTGACTGCACCACGAACTTGACAGGTGAGCGTGGGACAGAAATGGGGACACTGCCGGCACGCGGCCTTGAACCCAACACACTGGGCCCCGCCCTTTGCGGGGCGCCGGGTGCCTGTGAATCGTCAGCCAATGCAGATCGGCGCCTGCCCTGGGGTGGATCGTTGCTGGCTGACGGTGGGGAACTGGCGGCGCCGGCGCCCAGCCGCCTCCCGCCTCCCACACCACTCTGCCCAACTTTCGCCGTTCTGCAGGCACCGCCGGCTCCGTGATCTGCACGGGCAACGTGCCGAAGGATATCAACGACCCGCCGCAGAGCTGGGACGCCGCGCTGGCCCCGCTGGCCAACGCCACCGCCGTCAAGGTTGAGTTCCGCGACGTGCGCCCCTTCTCAGCCGTCTCCTTCACGCGCGCCCTGGACATCGTGCTGGGGGTGGGGGCCAGCGGCTTCACAGGCTCCGTGGACGTGCTGCTCACCAACTGCAGCATGAAGGGCGCGGAGGTGAGCTGGGTGTGGGCAGGCTCCTGACTGCGTTGGCACCGCAGCTGCCCTCGTGGCAGGCAGCCTGGGTCAGCCTGCTCGGCACCATGTGGATCCAAGTCCTGGCCATGTCCGCCTCTCCTCCCCCCCGCCTGCAGCTGGACTATGCCGCCGTCGCGGCGCTGGCGGGGACCAAGAGCTACTCGGTTCGGGTGCAGGACAGCGAGTTCATCGGCAACCAGATGAACGTGACGGGCGCCTTTGCAGCGGAGAGCGACTTCTCCCTCTCCATGCAGGTCACTGGGACATGTGAGTGAGAAAGGGGTGGGCAAGGCTGAGGGGTGCGGAAGAATGGAGGTGTGAGGCGGTCCGGTCGGCAGCACCGCTCCTCTTCGCCTGACCCCGCGCCTCCTCGCCCCTCCCGCGCCCTGCCCCGTGCAGCCATCAACAGGAACAAGCTGATGGCGTTTGGGCTGGCAGCTGTGGGCGCCGCCGGCACCGCCTCCATCTCTGTGACTGAGGGCAGCGAGGTGGAGCGGAATGAGGTGTGTCGGGCTGTGCAGAGAGAGAGAGAGAGAGCGTGTGTGTGTGTGCGTGTGCGCGCACGCGCGCGCGCATGAGGTGGTTCAAGGCGTCGGGCCACCGCTGGCTGTTGCGGCAGCCTGGGGTCTGTTGCGCACTAGGAGCAGGAGGGCTTGAGCAGCGTGCCGCCTCCCCGCCCCTCCCCACTTGCAGGTGTACCTGCTTGGCGCGCTGGCTGTGGGCGGCGGTGCCTCCCTCTCCATCCAGCTGGCCTCGTCCAACATCACCCGAAACGACCTTTACCAGGTCAGCCACACCACGCCCGCCTGCCCTCGCCGCCGCCCGGGCCCTCTCCTGCGGCCCCGCCTCGCCTCGCCCCGCCTCGCCCTGCCTGCCTGCGTCTGTCGTCTCGCAGGCACAGCCTCTCATAGCGTCCTCCAAGCCATGCTGACTCGTGCCCGTCCCCTGCCCCCGCCACCCCGCACGCCCGCGCTGCCCGCAGATGGGCCTGGTGGCGGTGGGCGGCCAGGCCTCTGCCTCGGTCACCGGCGCCGACGAGCCCGGCGTGACTGTGGAGGGCAACAGCCAGGAGTCTAAGGTGCAGGTGGTGGCGCAGCAGCCGCTGGTGGCCTCTGTGCTGGAAGTGGTGATGGGCCTAGGTGGGTGGGCTGCCGCCGCCAGCCGCGCACGCCGCCACCGCCGCTGCTGCTGCTAGGGACGGCGCAGGGATGCGGCTGCGCCCGCGGCTGCCTTGCCAGCCCCTCGACGCCTCGCCCACCACCCCCAAGCAGCGTCGATGCCCGTGCGTCGCCGGCACGCCCTGTGCAGCCGCGGCTGCCCGCCTGCCTGGCAACCCGCCTCACGCCGCCGTGCCCCTCTGCTGCCTGCAGGCTTCAACCAGTCTAGCTTTGACCTGGGCGCCGCGCTGACGCAGGCCCAGGGCGAGATCTGCTCGCTGCTGGCGGGCCTGAATGCGTCGGCCGCCTCCACCCCCGCCGACGAGCTCGCCACCATGCAGGCACTGGCCAGCCAGGTGCGCGTCAGCTGCTGCTGCCGGTCCTGCTGCTGGCTCCCCTGTCCTGCCTGGTCCTGCTGCTGTTGGTTCCCTGCCAGTTACCGGGCAGGTGCCTCGCCTCACCAGGGGCCAAGCCCTGGCACCCGGGGCGCCGGCCTTGCCGCCTGCTTGGCCCACCGCCGCCGCGTGCCTCCGCCCCTCCCCGCGCCGCAGGTCACCGGCCTGCTGTGCGCCAACGGCACCGCCAACCCCTCTGTCAACATGTCGGCGCTGGTGCCGCTGGTGGAGGGGTGGCTGGGTCAGGGCCTGGGCGGGCTGTCCTCTGTGCTGGACGGCCTGCTCACCGACTCTGGGCTGCTGGAGGTGAGGCCCGGGGGTGGCAGGGGATGGCAGGGGATGGCGCGAAGTGGATGATTCGAATGCGTGTGCGTGTGGAAGGGAGCGGCGGCCCCGGCAACGCTGGTGGGCATGCAGCTGTGCGCCACCTGGCGTGCGCCGCCTCGCCCCGCCCTCGCCCTGCCCTCACGCCACCCCCCGCCGCCTCGCCACCGTCGCAGAGCCTGGTGGCGGCAATCGAGGGTGACGAGCCGCTGGGCACCGCCCTGGACGACGTGCTCCAGTCGCTGCTTTCCAACCAGGACGTGCAGAGCGGGGCGGCGGTGCTGGGAGACCTCCTGTCCCAGCTGGGCCAGTGGCTGGACAAGCCGCTGGGCGACGGCAGCACCGCGTCCGGCAGCGGGCTGGACCTGCCCGGCACCATCCAGGACATCATCGGCGCCGTTGGCGGCGGCCTGGGCGGCGGCGAGGGCGGCGAGGGCGAGGGCGGCGAGGGCGGCGACGTGGCGGCGGGCCTGACCGGCAGCCTGGCCGACATCGTGCAGCAGGTGCTGGGCAGCATCACGGGCGAGGGCGGCGAGGGCGGCGGCGAGGACGGCGATGGCGGCGATGGCGGCGGCACCACCCCCGGTGACCTCATCAACAGCATCGTGGGCGCACTGACCGGCGGCGCCGACAGCCCGCTGGCCGGCCAGGATGTGTCCAGCCTGGTGCCGGTGCTGGGGGCCATCCTGCAAGACCCAGATGCGGTCGCCTCCCTGCCCGGCCTGCTGAGCGGCGTGCTGGGCGGCGGCGGCGGCGGCGAGGAGGGCGACGGCCAGGCTGGCGGTCTGGACCTGGCGGGGCTGGGCCCCATCCTGTCGGCAGTCACGGGCAACGAGCAGGCCTCTGCCGCGCTGCCAGACGTGCTGGGCCTGCTGGGCAGCCTGGGGCTGGGCGGCCTGGGCGGCGACTCGGGCAACTGAGCGATTCGTGGCCTGCGCCGTGACCGACCGATGCGCTTATTCACCTGCACATTTCCACAGCCGACTTCAAAATTTTGGGCCTGCGATTTTCTATGGCTCCCTTTGCATGCTCGCCATCCCAAAGATCTGTCCCGTGATCCGTTCAAATAACCCCATGCGCTGTGCAAGCTCTGCAACACAGACCTTGCCGGAAGGATGCACGACAGGTTGCGCAGCATGATGCAGGATGGTGTGGAACCCACCAGCAGGGCTGAAAGGGCATGGCAGTACCCCTCACCCTCCAACATGTTGCGGCGCCGGCGCCAGCAGGATAGGGGGGCAAATTTTGGGGCAGGTTTTGGACATCGTAACATTATTCAAGACTAATTCATTCAAGCACATTGTTGCACAGCCAGCCGCTTCAAGGCGCGCCGAAACTCACGCCCCTCGGACAAAACACTCGCTGGGCACTGCTCCCTCCCACCCCTCTCACGGCGCGCTACTGCACCCTGGAAGGTGTGCTGGCATCCAGGGAGCTGGGAGGATGCCGCCAGACGCCTCTGGCCACTGCATGGCTGTGTGCATCTGCCGAAAAAGCACCCTGGCCAACCCCAAACGGCTCTAACTGAGGACCCTCCAGCTGCAGGCGGCACCCCAGGGGCTCATGACCGCGGCGCAGGAGGGCCGATCGCAGCAGAGGGCGGAATACCTGCCGCACCGGCCGCCCCACAGCGGCGGCCGCCAGGTCCCGGACAGCCCTGCCCGGGCCTCCACCCCTGCCCCCATGGACGACTACGCAGCTGACAACAGCAGCAACCGGGGCCACTCCCTGCCCAGGCAGCGCAGCTTCAGCATCCATGCCGACGGCAGCGCCCACGGAGGACGGCGCTATGTGGGCGCAGGCTGCTCCCGCGAAGGCAGCACCCATGGTGGGCTGCGCTTTGTGTGCACAGGCTCCCGTGAGGGCAGCGCCCATGGAGGGCGGCGCCATGTGGGGGCAGGCTCCCGTGAGGGCAGCACCCATGGCGGGTGGCGCTTCTTTGAGTCAGCCTCGCGGGACGAGCAGTGGGCGCAGGCTCGGGCAGAAGAGTATGCTCTGGAGCAGCACAGCCTGCAGGACGACGCACACCCGGCTCGCCTGCCTGGCGGCAGCGGCCGGGGCGCCACGGCGGGGCAGGCGGCGCTGCGGCTGGCAGGCGAGGGCCCCGCGGGGCACCACGCTGTATGGGTGACGGAGGATGGCAGCGCCAAGGGTGGTGTGCAGCCTCCGGCGCTGCCCAGCAGTACCGGCGGCGGCGGCTTCAGCGGCATCAGCGGCGGCGGCGGCGGCGGCGGCAAGGGTCATGGTTTTGGCAGCGCTGTGGTGCAGATAGAGGAGCCAAAGGAGCGAGACATGTTTGAGTGGGGCGCCTACTTTGGCTCCCTGCCCAAAAAGCTCAAAGGCGAGGCGGGGAGGAGGGGCTGCCGCGCCATGCCACTCGCCACGCGCTGCTCCTCACGCCGCAGCCCGCCCCGCCCTGCCCTTGCTGCAGGCGGCCTGGACACGCGGCTGCCCATCCCGCCCCTGCGCGACGTCTTCTGGAGCTGGCTGGGGGCTTTCCTGGGTGGGTGGACACTAGCCGCTGCTGCCCTGCTTCCCCGCCGGCCAGCTCCGGTGGCGGCGATCCGGCAATTGTGTGGCATGCCTGCCCGCCAACGCGACACCCGCTGCCACCTGCCCCACCGCCTGCGCGCAACCCGCCCGCAGGCATCCTGGCCATCAGCGCCATGAACCAGTGGGTGACCCCGGAGATCGACATCGTGTTTGTGGTGGGCAGCTTTGGGGCCTCGGGTGAGCCAGCCACGCCGTGGGCAAGGGAGCAGGGGCGGCCTGGGCCATGCTGGCTGCGTGCCAGCACATGCTGGCCCGTGCACCTGCCTGCCTTCCGCCTCGCTTCTGTTGACGTGTCAATCACATGACTCTTCATTGCCCGCTGTGCCTGCCCTGCTCCCGTGCCCCTCTCGCCCTGCAGCGGTGCTCGTGTTTGCGCTTCTGGAGTCCAAGATGAGCCAGCCCCGCAACTTTCTGGGCGGGCAGATGCTGTCTGCCCTGGTGGGCATCACCACGCGCGTGGTCATCCACCAGGTGTGGATTGCCGGCCCGGTGGGCATGTCGCTGGCGCTGGTGGCCATGCAGCTGACCGCCACCACACACCCGCCAGGTGACGCACACAGGGGCGGGGGGCCAGGGGTGGCGTGCAGGCATGTGGTGACACACAACGTTGCGGGGTGTGGGTTGCGTCCAGCCGCACGCATGCTCCGATGCACACTCCCAGCCCTTGCTGCTCTCGGGCTCCACCCCTCTCCTCCTGCACGCCTGTGCAGGTGGCGCCACCGCCCTCATCGCCTGCACGCTGCCCACGCTGCCCAAGTGGCATGGTAGGTTGCGCCGCGGCTTGCCAGGTCTGTGCCTGCTCAACTCCCTTTCTACCCACCCGCTCAGCGCTGCCGCCTCTTCCGGGCTGCAGGTTACAGCTACCTGGTCACCATAGGCGTGTCCTCCATCATCATGCAGCTCATTGCACTGGTGGTGAACAACATTGACCCGCGGCGGCGCTACCCCACGTATTACTGGTGACTACCCCTCCTGCTTCTGCCGACCAATGGGATTGCCACTCTGATGCCTAACTCCTCCTGCTATGTTCAGCACCGCCCTCCAGTTGTTGCATGTCCACAAGTTTTACCCTCTGTTAGCTGAGAGTAACAATACCGCAGCAATCTCTTGCAATCAAATCACGCGTGAACACATATAAACTGCATTCCATCGAGTCACCGTGCCCAGCCAAGCTGGTCCTGCGCCCCGCGCTGCCGCGTCCTCCGGGCTGCCGCCAGTCGGGCCATCTACAGGCCCACATGGTAGCTGCGGCCGCCGGGGTTGTGGATGGGGGAGGCCAGCGGCTGCGTCACCGCCCACTCGTACCACACCTTGTGCTGGCCGGCGCACCGCCACATGTGCACCTCCATGCGCGCACCTGCAAGGGGGCAGCGGTCTGGGCACGGGGTGTTTCGGCAAGGGGGCAAGCAGCTGGCACCTGGCTGGTGCCCGCAGCCCACAGGCCAGGCCCCTACACATCGATGCATCCGGTGCCCCTGAGGCAGCCACCCTCAGCCCAGCTCAGTCCAGACCTCCCGCCTGCGTCCGCCGGGGCGCGCCGCCCCAAGCTCTCACCCTGGGGCACGTAGAAGGGTGTGCGCACGGGGAAGTAGATTGGGAACCAGGAGAACATGTTGGGGGTGTGGGTGGGCGGGTGGATGGACAGGTGCACGTCCTTGTACAGCCGGGCGTCAAAGTAGCCGGCAAAGCCGTGGCATACTGCGGGGAAGCGGCATGAGGGGAGCGTGGCCGGGGTGTCAGCTGGGCAGCCGGGGCAGGCAGGGGGAGGATGGCGACGCCATGACGGCAGGCAGACGAGCGGGCGGCAGCAGCGGCAGGTGGCAGCAGGCAAGCCGGAGGAGGCAGGAGGCCACGGCCGCAGCTTGCCTGTGCCGCCCGGTGGGGTGCAGTCAAACTGCAGGCGGATGCTGCGCGTGTTGTCGATGCTGTGCGAGCGGTTGGGGTGCTCAAAGGTGAACACCTCCTGCGGCGGAGGGGGCGGGGAGGGGCAGGGCGGGGCGCTTGCTACGGGAGCCACAGATGGCGCAGCAAGAAGAAGGACACCGGGAGGCACTGGCGACACCGACATGCTCAGCAGCCTGACGAGCCCCCACCCCTCCTGCCGCACCTGCGTGGGCGCCAGCGGGCAGAACTTGAACAGCTTCACCACAAAGGCCGTCTCAAAGTGCTCCACATCGTCGTACGCCTGTGCTGGGCGGGGGCGTGAGGACAGCGTGGGTGGATGGGGTGGGTGGGCAGGCGGGGTGGGTGGGAAAACGCAGATCATGACACCACCACCACTCCACCACTCCACCCCACTCTCCCCCATGCCCAAACCAGCCCGCCCATGCACCCCCCGCGCCACCCACCCTGACGTCGTTCCACAGCTTGTGCGAGGTGATGGGCTGCAGGTAGGAGGTGTAGGCCTGCGGGATGGACACGCCGTCGGGCCTGAGGAAGCGCTGCGCGCCGTCCAGGCACTCGGGCGACAGCTCGTTGTCGCCGAAGGAGCCCAGCAGCTCGCTGCGGGGGTCGGGGGACGGGGATGGGAGGTGGAAACAGGGCGCAGATGGATGAGCTGCTTGGCTATGGGCCCAAGGGTCCAGGTGCCTCTCCCTCCTGCACCTGCTCACATCCCAGCTGCACCTGCTCACCCCCACCCCCCGCTCCGACACACACGCACACACACACACAACGCCAGCGCCACCACACACATACAGGTGCTGCTCGCGCCCACCTGACCAGGATGTCTGCCTGCTCGGGCGCCTCCCACTCGCGCATGTCGGCGGGCACGATGGTGACGGTGCCCTGCCACCCATCCGCCACCACCCGGTTCTGCAGTGTCACCACGGCGTTGGGGTTCTTCTCCACAGCAAACACCCTGGGGACAGCGGGGAAGGAGGAGGGAGCATATGTGTGTGTGGGTGTGTGGTGGTGGGGCGCGGCCACCCAAAGTGGCAGGAGTTTGGCGGCACCTGGCTGCGCTGCAAACGCGTCACGGGGCTGGACCCGGAGCCACACCTGAGCTTGCGCCGCGCGCGCACGGACGCCCGCAGCGACGCCGCCACCAGCGGCCCCCGCCCCGCCCCCACCACCATCAGTACTGTGGTGCGGCTCTCCGCCTCCTCCTGCGCAGCAGCCACCCCAGGGCAGCTAGCGGTCAGCAGCAGGAACAGCACTGGAAGAGGGGCGGACGCGAGCCTAGCAGACGAAGGTGCCGAGGAGGCACTGTCTGCCTGCGCCCGCTCGGCTCCCGCCCCTGCCAGCATCTCCCGCAGCGCCCCACCTCTGGCACGCGGTCCAGCAGGCAGCGGTACACAGCTTCCTCGTAGGTGCTGTACTTCATGCCGTCCCGCTCAAACGTCTCGTACGTCTGGCTCTCCAAATTGTCCTGCAGCGGCTGCAGCGGGGACTGCAGGCAGCGGGGAAGGCAGGGCAGCAGGGCCGAGGCGGCAGGTCGGTGCGGCAGCAAGCAGAGCACGGGCATGCAGGGAGGCAGTGGCTGCTGCCCGCTGCCCCATCAGCTGCCCCCCGACTTCCCAGCAGGTACCGCACCTGCAGGTAGTCGCGGTACCCCATCTCCACCATCTCCTGCTCGCTGGTGGCCTCAATCTTCCTGCACCCAGCCAACACCCCATCTCAAGCGCCACTGGGCACCACCACCACCTCGAGCACACACACCGCACCACCACACGTACCCCTCCCAAACAGTACAACCCATACACCTGAATATGTACGACAGATACTCCCAGTACACGCGCAGCGAGTCCTGCTGCACCGCCGCCGCCGCCGCCACCTCGCCGCCGGGCCCCACCGCCGCCGCGTTGCCCGCGGGCGGCGCGGGCGGCGCGTGCTGCGCCGCGCCCGACAGCACCACCTGCACCCCCCGCCTGAAGCACTCGCCCAGGAACTCCTGGTGGCGCTTGGAGAGGGCGGGGTAGCCGCGCTTGTTGGTCTGGAAGATGGATGTCGGGACCAGCACCGCCCTGCAGGGCAGGAGGCAGGGGCCACAGCAAACGGAGGGGGTTGGCGCCAAGGCCGCACCAGGCAGGGGCAGCAGCGGGGGGCCCGCTCGGCAAGGACCGCCAGCCAGTGGCAGCGGTGCGGCGGCGGCAAGGGCAGGCGGGGTGCGGCAGCGTGGGGCCTGGCCGGGCGTGCTCTCACTTGAGGGGCTCGCCCCGCCACCGCAGCAGGCTGCCCTCCGACGGCAGGTCTGCGCCCAGCTCCAGCACCACCCCCAGCCGCGTGTTGTGGTGGCACAGGAAGCGCAGCTGGTTCCACCACTCCCAGGGGTCGCCCGCAAGGCTGCTGCCACTGCTGCCGCCGAGGCCGCCGGCGTCGCCGTCGGAGCCGGCGGCTGCCGCGGGCGCGGCGGCGGGGATGCGCAGCCAGAGCGCCATGCTGGCCAGGCTGCCGAGCGCCTGGTTGAGCAGGCGCGCGTAGTTGGCTGCGGCCAGCGGCTGCGGCGGCGGCGGCAGCGCCACGGCCTGCAGCGACAGGTGCGCCGCCCAGGCTAGCTCCTGCTGCAGCGCCGCGCGCGAGTCGCGGGCCAGCGCGGGGCTGGCAGAGTCGCAGTCGATCCAGGGGCTGACCTTGCCCACCACCTGACCGCTCCACTGGCCCGAGGTGAGCAGCAGGTCGGAGCGGGTGAAGGGGGGCTGGAAGGTGCCGCGCGGCAGCGCGCTGGGGGCGGGGCGGCGGTACCGGGGGTGCACCAGCGGCGCCATCACAAAGTCAAAGCCGCACTGCAGCGCGCTCTGCGGGCGCAGCGCAAGGCGGGGGCGCGGGGAGGGGCGGGAGGAGAGGCGTGGGGAAGTTCTTGGGTGGGGGCAGGAGCGGGTGGATGCCCCCAAGAGGGCAGCAGCTTGCAGAGGGCGCAGCGATGCAGCTGCACCAGCACACGTTGCACGCGGCGAGGCGGTCGTCGCGCGGCACGGCACGCCGCTGCGCGCACCTCGAGCGTCTGCACAATGTCGCAGCTGAAGGGCACATCCAGCCCAGCATACTTGGCATCCCCAAAGTCGGTGCGCTTGCCCAGCCCCATGGCTGGCAAACGTGGCCCTGTCGGCGGGGCAGACATTTTCAGAGGTCGGTGGCGGCGGCGGCAGGGCAGCCGGCGGCGGCGGCATGGGCGGCGCGCTCTGGCTCAATTGGGCGGCGATGCAGACATCGTCGCTCTGCTGCAGACATCATCGCTGTGCAGACCACCAGGCCTGCATCGCCGGCTCAACCTGATGGCATGCGCCCGCACCTGAGTCGGCACTGACTGCTGAGGGGGTGGGACTGCCGCGACGTGCTGTGCTCGGCGAGGGAAGATGCGCGGCGATCGGGGAGGTGTGGCATTATGCACGAGGAAGTGTCCAGCTTGGCGGCGCCGGTAGGCGCTGGAGTAGAGGCACCGATTCCTGATGCCCACAATTTATGTTTGCTGATTGGGCAAATAATCTCGATGATGAGCATCACCTCAACAACCATTGAGATCTCCGCTAGAGTCCTGTGCAGAGCGCGGCGGGCGGCGGCGGCAGCGGCGGGGGCGGCAGCCAGCTGGCAGAAGTTTGATCAAGCGCAAATCGGCTGGGCTGCCGCTGCTGACCTCTATTCCCCGTGCAGCTTCTCTCTGTGGCCCGACTTGGCTCTAGCCAGGCGGGCCAACAGCGTGCCTTTTCAGACCATTGGGGTGCCGACGACCAGAAGTCGGGACAAAGCCCCCTTGGACCTCCTCCCTCGCTGCGGCTTGATCCACATCCACACGCGTGCCTGCCAAATGCAATCGCAGTCGGTTGTAGGACGAGCAAGTCTCTAAAGGTCCGCATTGGCATGGGCGCCCCACCGCTGTCGGGCTCATTTGGCAGCACCTGCCTGTGCTGTGGCTCTGCTGCACTTTACCCGATTGGGTGACGGGTGCCACGCCGCTGGGTGCGGGTAGCGTGCCCACCCGCATCCCCCCTTTTGGACTGCACCTTGACTGCCTGCGCGCCGCCTCTTCTATGCCGCAGCAGCTTCCTGGGCAACTGTGGGGATTGCCCGACAAGGCGCGCCACTGCCGTGCAGGTCTACCAGTGAACTAGCGGTGGCGGCGGCGACGGCGGAGTTGCCAGCTCACCATGCCGCTGGCTGAGGAGCAGCCCTACAGCGACTCAGAGGCGAGTCAGACGGAGGAGGAGGAGGAGGAAGAGGAGGAGGAGAGCGAGGAGGACGACGAGGCGCCCAGCAGCGGGAGCCGCTCGCAGCGGCGCAGCAGGCGGCGGCGCCAGTCGGGCGGCGGACGTGGCTCCAAGTCCTCCTGGATGCCTCATGAGGATGAGCTGCTCACCAGGCAAGCCCGGGGAGGGAGGTGGACGCAGGGGAGCAGGTGCTTGCAGCCCCGCACGGTGCAGCGCCCAGCTGTGCTGCCTGGTGGTGCACTGGTCAACCTCCCCGCCGCAACCGCCGCCGCCTGCACCCACCGCCGCCGCTGCCGCCCCCCAACCGGCCCCGCCCCCCCCGCAGGCTGGTGCGCGACCACGGCCAGAGCAACTGGTCCCTCATCGCCAAGCACTTTTCGGGGCGCATCGGCAAGCAGTGCCGCGAGCGGTGGCACAACCAGCTGCGCCCCGACATCCGCCGCGAGGCGTGGGAGGGCGGCGAGGAACGGCTGCTGATCGAGGCGCACAAGCGCATCGGCAACAAGTGGGCCGACATCGCCAAGCTGATCCCGGGCAGGACGGAGAATGCGGTCAAGAACCACTGGAACGCCACGCTGCGGCGCAAGGATGCGGGGCGCGGCGGCAACACGCTGCTCAAGGAGTACATGAAGGCGATCGGGGTGGGGGTGGGGCGCAGGGCGGCGGCCAAGCGCCGCGCCACGCAGCCCGCCTCGGAGGAGAGCGAGGGCGGGGAGGAGGGCGGGGAGGGCGGCGGCGCGGCGGCCCAGGCGGCGGGTGCCGGCCGGCGGCCGCGCGGCGGGCGGCAACAGCGGGCGAGGGTGTCTGCGCCGGCGGCGCTGGAGGGCCACACCACGCCCCACGCCGCGGGCCTTGCCGCTCTGCTGGGCGGCGGCGGCGTGCAGCCGGCGGGCGGCGAGGCGCTGGGCATGCAGCAGCAGCTTCAGCACTTCCCGGAGCTGGCCCTGGGGCCCCACCAGGCCGTGCTGCCCATCCTGGGGGGGAGCGCGCCCGGCTCGGGCATGGCCGCCGTCAGCGCCGGCACGCGGCGCCGCTCCTTGGAAGCCACACACCTGGTGTTCAGCCCTGTGGGCGTGGCCCCCGCCGCCGCCGCCGCCGGCGGCAGCATTGTCAAGGTGGGTGGCCGTGAGGAGGCGGGCAGGGCGGGGCGCTTGGGCGCTGGGGGTGGCTCCAGCTCAGTGCACCGCCCAGGGGAGGCCGCCGTGAACGCCAGGCAGCATTGCCCTGCCCTCCACGCCACTGCCTCCTGTGCACGCTGCCCGCTGCCGGCCCACGCGAGCCCCCACCGGCCCCTGCAGGACGCGGCGGTGTCTGCCCTCAGCAAGGAATTCGACCTCATGCTGCACAAGTGCCAGCGGCGGCGGCCCCACAGCGGCGGCGGCGGCGGCCGCGGCCCGCCCTCCACCCCGGAGCTGGACACAATCATGGACTGGCTGACGGCAGTCAATGGCCCAGCCCAGGGATGCTCGCCCTCCACCGCCGCCGCTGGCACCGGCAAGCAGCTCGTGAGTGGCGGGTGGCTGGGCTGGGGCGGGCCTGGGAGCCACCAACAGAGGCGGAGCAGCCTGCATGGCTTCAGCAGTCGACCCGTCCTCCTCTTGCCCCCACAACTCACCTCCTGCATCGCGTGTGCCGCCGTGCAGGCCCTGCCACGCACCGCCAGCGCGGCAGCGGTGGCGGGGGTGGCGGGGGAGGCGTCGCTGAGCGGCTTCAAGACCCCAGACATCCCCATGCTGGGGGTGGCGCTCTTCTCGCCCCACACCCAGGTCGGCACCTGTGCTGGCCCTGGCGCCTGGGCCCTCACCTTGGGCCCTGCCCTCTGCTGCCCAGCAGCGATGCACACGCTTTGTGGCGCCACCCCCTCCCTTCCCGCCTTCACCCTCACAGCTTGCGCCGTGCCCCCCGCCGCGCCTGCAGTCCCAGCTGGACTTCAGCAGCAGCCTGGGCGGCGACCTGCTGCTGGGTGTGGGGCAGGACCCGCTGGGCATCGGCATCCTGTCGCCCAACCTCATGGCCCAGCAGCCGCCGCCGCCGCCGCAGCAGCAGCAGCAGCGGGAGCAGCAGCGGGAGCAGCAGGAGGGGCTACGCCCCGGCAGCGGCAGTGGGACCAGCAGCGCCAAGCCGGCGCAGCTACTGGCAGACCCTGCGCCGCCCGCCGCCGCCACCTCCACCCGCCTCTCCTCCGCCACCCACTCAAGCCAGGGCGCACCGGGCAGCGGCAGCGTGGCCAGACGCAACCGCCGCAGCGACGTGGGCGACAGCGCCTTCCTGCCCTCCCCAGCCGGCATGCCAGCCCCGTTCCAGTCGCCAGACGAGCGGCGGCAGGCGGGCCTCGCGGCCAGCCAGCAGCAGCATCGGCGGCACCAGAAGCGGCCCTCGCTCTTCTCCTCTGGCGGCGGCGCCTTCAGCCCCCAGCTGCTCAGCCCGCTGGCCGAGGCGGTCGGGCTGGGTGCCGGCGGCAGCGGCGCTGCGGCGGCGGCAGCGGCGGCTGTTGCGGGCAGGAACCTGATCACGGTGCAGGCAGGGAGGCTGGAGAGCCTGGACAAATACCTGGCACAGGTGAGCAGGGGCCCGCCACTTGCCCACCTCTTCCACAGATGGGCGCAAGCCAGCGAGTGCACAGCCAACATGGGGTGCTGTGTGCTGCCCTGCCCGCCTCCTGGCCTTCACCCACCCCCGCTCCCTCCACAAACCCTCCCCCTGCCCACGCCCCGTCCCCCTGCAGCTGCGCAGCGCAGGCCAGGAGGTGGCCACCTACAGCGGCTGTGTGCCGGGGCTGTGCGTGGAGCGAGCGGTGCCGGCGGTGCCCGAGGCCGCGGCGGGGCTGCGGGCGCGGCTGACCGAGGTGGCTGCGGGCTTCTGCGCCAGCATACGCGCGCAGAGCAGGCGGGAGTGCCTGGGCGACATGCTGGTGGCGCTGCGGCTGGGCCCGCTGGGGCCTGGGGAGGCGGGGCTGGTGGTGGCGGTGGCCGCCGCGCGCTGGCACCCCGCGGTGGCGGCGGTGCAGCAGGCTGTCACACACCTGCGCAGCATCGAGCTGCAGTGAAGCTTGGCAGCTCCTCGTGACTGGCGACGCTCACGACTCGTTTGAACGAAAACGAATGTTACAAGCAATTCTGCCAGAGAGGAGTGCAGTTCAAGGTTGAACATCATGGCATGGTGATGGGGAACAGAACAAAACTCGGGGCTGGAAGCAGGTTGCCAGCAGGGAGTCAGAAAGGAAAAGAGGGTCTACCGGGATAGATGGATGGATTGCGTTAGTAGTAAGCGGTTCGGGGGCGTGCGTTGGGCGTCGGGGGCTGGGCATGTAGCGGCAAGGAGTTGACGATTGCACAGCCTTCAGGGGGCTACGGCAGCGACGGGGTGGTCGTACATATGAGGTACAGCGATACAGGCTGAGGGGACAGCGAACAACAAGACAGCAAACCCAAACAAGGACATTGTTTGGGATGCGCAGTGTACAACCGAGTGGCGAGTGTACAACAGAGGGCGGCAGCGCTGGCGGCGGCTGCGGAATGGGACGACAGGGCTAAGGGAAAACATAGGGGTGGAGAAGGAACGGGGAGGGACAAGTGCGGGCTGGAGGAAAGGCCAAGCCTAACAGTATCATCACATCACTTGACTGACTTGGCGCCGCGCAGAAAGGAGGCGCGGCGCCGAGTCACAAGGCTATCAGCTATCAATCATGGGCACGCAAGCTGCCTGGCACGCAAGCTGTGAAGCGGGCGGCGACGATGCGGGGTCACCATGGCACACGACACTGCGGCAGCAGCAGCTCCAACCCTATATGGCGACAACCGAGGCGAGGCAGCGCCGCACCGGCACGGCTGCGCAGTGGCGGTCGCAGCTGGAGGGGCGCAACCGCCGGCGGGCTGCTGGCCTGCTCACTGGCTTGCTCACTGGCGGGGCCGGTAGTAGCCGCGCCGCTCCTTGTACCCTTTGTCGCTGGTGCCGGAGAGGTAGGTGGAGGAGGTTAGGTGCGTGCGCAGCACCTCTGTGTTCTCCTGCTCAATGTACCTGCGCGCCAGGGCGTGGGAAGTGGCCGCGTTGGATGCGCCGCGCCGGCGGCGCGCGGCCTGGGGCATGCGCCGCGTGCCCTGCGCCGCGGCTGCCTGCGCGCTGCCCAACCAGCGTCCACGCCTGGCTGCTGCGCCCCAGCCGGTGCCTCTGCCGGCCCCCACTCACTTGGGCATCTCCACCAGCGTGTGCGCCATGTCTGAGCGGATCTGTATCACGCGGTGCGCCAAGTTGGCGGGGTCGATGGTGTGGTCCACGCCCGTGCTGGGCTCGCGCACCACCACCGACGGCGCCTTGAACAGGCCCAGCAGGAACTGCGGCGGCAGGGGCGGGGGCAGGCAGGCAGGCAGCGAGGTGAGGCTCCGCAGCAACAGCAGCTGGGGCAGACGACACGCGGGAAGACGACACGCGGACCAGGGTGCTGGCGAGAGGCTGCCGGCGAGCCCCGCCCACCTTGTTCCCGTCTGAGGGTGGGTGCTCGCTGCAATAGTTGTTGAACCACTGCGGGGCGGGGAGCAGGCAACAGGCAGGGACGGATGAGCAGCCTGGTATCTATGAGCAGCTGTTTCCCAGCGTGAGGCACCCTACCGCTAGCGGCAGAGTTGTGAAAGGCAGCAAGCACAGCGGCGCACGGGCGGCTACCTGCGCCTTGAACAGGTCCAGCTCTTGCAGCTGCACCAACAGTCGCTGTGTGGCCTTTGCCGTCAGCACCTTGAGCAGCACCTGCGTGTCAGCATAGGGCGGCCATAGGGCATAGAAGGTGAACGGGTGGGTGGCCGGGTGGAGGCCCAGCCTGGACGCAACAGCCCATCCGCCAACCCCCAGGCGCCCCGCCTGCTCCGCATGGTGCCGGCGTGACAAGCAGCACTCCATGCCCCACACCCAGCAGCTGAACAGCATGATTCTGGCACGCTGCGCGGCTGGCGCGCCCCGGCGCGCCGCGACTGGTGGCTCACATGCGCCGTGTCCCGGTCAAACTGCGACCAGTTCCACGAGTCATCATCGTGGGAATCGTAATTGCTGCGGTCTGCCCTGCAAGCCCCACCAAATTTGAAAAGTGTTGGAGATGTGTTGGAGGATGGCGGGGGTTACGCGCCCCGCGGCGCCGGCGGGGCGGGGCCTGGCTCGGCTCGCAACGACCCTCTCAATCACAGCCTCCCAGCAGCGGCGCCCACCACTTGTTCAGCTCGTTGGCTTGCACCACCAGGCGGCCCGCACTCCTGATCACCCCGCGCCGCGGCTGCGCTGCAAGGCAACCACGCAGACCAAAGAACTGCTGCCCAGCATGCCGCACGGTGGGGTGCTGGGGGCTGCGGGAGGCTGCCAGCGTCCCGCTGGAGGAGGGAGCTGTCGAGGGCATACTTAGGGCAGGGGGTGTGCGCAAAAGATGACACCGGAGGGGTTCAGTGAACAGGAGGAACTGGTTGTGTGACGTGTGTAGGGTCTGAGAAGCCTGGCCGTGATCTTGGTGGGGCCTGGAAAGGCGCCAAGGCCAAGTCTCGGAAACACGCATGCTTGAGGCTACTATCGTTCCGGAGCTTGGTAAGGGGTTCCAAGCATCGAGAAAACGGGCGTCTGGGGACCACCGCTGTCCGCCTTGGACCCCAACCTGCACTGCCCAACCACCCTCCCTGCGCGCGCTTCACGGCCCGCTGGATGCGGGGGGCATGCCGATGGACGATGCCGACACTCCCGAGCGGCCAGCGCCTCCCACGCCCACAGCGGTGCGCGGCCCCGCCTGCGCTCCGCCCCGCCCCCCGCCGGCGCCATTTGACTCGGCCATTGACCATCGCCCCAGCCCTCCCAAACTCCCACCACACCCTCGCAGGTGCGCCGCTGCGGCGGCGGCTACGAGTGGAGGCGCAGCGAGCGGTTTACAGACCAGCTCCAGCTGTGCGCCGCGTACGACACATACTCGGCGCTCCCCAGGCCCGCCGAGGCGCACACCGCCACGGATGTGGCGGTGCTGGCAGAAATTCTGAAGGCAGCCGAGGCGGAGTTGGATGCCGCCGGGACCCAGGGCGTACCGCAGCAGGTGATGCACAGGCGGCGCAGGGCAGCGTGCCTGTCGCCGCTGCCCCTGCCTAGCCCTGGCCTCCCACGTCGTGGCAGCTCACGGCCCCCCGCTCGCATTCCTCGCCTCCCACTCCCGCACCGCAGGCCACTCTGTCCCAGGTGCTGCGGGCATACCAGCGGGTGCTGCAGGGCGCGGGGCTGGAGCCTCAGAGCGACACACGCTTCTACCGCATCCTGCTGCGCCTGGGCCTGGACCGGGAGGAGCCCGACTGGTGGGGGCGGCTCTACCGCGAAATCAGCAGCAACTGCAGGTGGGTGGGCGGGCACGCTCCTGCAAGCCTGCAGCACGTGCTGGCCGCCCTTACAGGGCGGAAAAAAAACCCTCGCCACGCCTGCTCCGAGTCGCCGCGTCCCGTGCAGGCGGTATTCGGCGCCGCCGGTGCAGCAGCAAACGTTGATGAACGTGCTGCTTCGGTGCCGTATGGGCAGCTCGCTGGCAGACCAGGAGAACTGTTGCGACGTCAGCGCGATCGGAGGGTGGGCTCAGCATTTAGTCCAGGCCAGCAGGCCAGCCAGCGCCACAGCTGCCGCCCAGCCCTGGCAACCCTGGCATGGTGGCCAGCCCTGGCAACCCTCGCGTGCCGGCCCGGAGCTTGATGAGCCTGGGGCAGCGGCGCATGCACACGGTGGTGTGGCTGGCCTAGATGGGATCTTGCATTGCAACCAGCCGCTGGGCCCTCAGGGAGAGCAGCCCAGCGCGGCAGGTGCCGCTAGTGCTGCTGCCGCCGTGGCCCCTGCTGCTGCGGGCTGGGACCAACTGGAATCCGCCAGCTTTATGAGCCTGCCTCCCGGGACTGCTGCCGAGGCCCAGCAGCAGGAAGGGGCTGCTCAGCTGGAGGCGGCACTGCTGGCCTGGCAGCGTCATGCTGGCTGTGCTGCTGCTCCATCTCCCGCTGCCGCTGAGGCCAGCTCAGAGGCCCAGCCAGGATTGCAGGCGGCAGCTCAGGCGTGGCGGCAGGGGAGCGCTGCTGCGGGGCCAGGGTTGCCTGGCAGGGCCAGGGCTTTTAAGGGTAGCGCATCCCCGCCTGTGGAGGATGCGGTGGTCGGTTGGCAGCAGGCAACAGGGCCGTGGCGGCCAGCATCCGCAGGGGCGGCGAGCAGTGTGGCCATGTGTGTGGTTGTGCCGCCGCCACTGGTGCCGCACGAGCATGTGCAGCATGGCTGGGCGGCAGCAGGATCGCCTACCTCAGCTGCCTCCATCTGGGGCAGCCCTCCTTTGCGCGTCATAGGAGTGCCAGCCTGCCCCGCTCCAGGGCAGCACTCACCACAGCCGGATCATCATGAACAGAATGCCAGCCCAATTAGCAGACCCCAGCCAGTCCCCCACAGCGCCAAGTATCCCCCCATCTACTGCACTCCAGCGGCGGCAGGACCCAGCCACACCGGCGCTTCTGACAGCCCCCGGATCCTGGCCTACCTTCAGCCCAGCGCTGCGCCACCGGCCACAGCACCAGTCGTTGCTGCACCAGCACAGGCTCCCCCGCTCATGAGCCCAGGGGTGGAGCAGCAGGTGCTGCGGTGCATGTGGGGCGAGTGGCGCGTCCTGGCTCGCTCTGCGGCCGCAGCGCAGCGTGTGGCAGAGCTGCGCGGCGGCAGCCGTGCCGAGGACTTCCGGCAGGAGCAGCTGCTGCGCCACTGGTTCCGCGCCTGGCGCATCCACAAGCAGGCGGTGGCAGCCGCGGTGATGGGAAGGATGGCCGGCAGCGCGCTGCGCCGTACCTTCTTCACCTGGCGACAGGCGGCAGGGCAAGCGGCCGAACTCGGCCGCCGTGCCTGCCTGCACTACAACCGCAGCAGCCTGCGGGCAATTCTCAAGGTGATGCAGAGCGGCGTAGAGGGCAATGGGCAGGGGCAGAGGAGCCCAGCACATCCAAGGCTGGGGAACAAGATGCCTCAAGCGAGAGCGCTCGCTGCTCAGCCTGCCTGCTGCCCTGCTTGCAGGTGTGGCGGCTGGCTGCCTCCCACAGGAGAGCAAAGGGCATCAAGTGCCTGGCAGCTGTGGCCCACTGGCAGGGGCACACGGCAAGCACACGGCTCGTAGCATGGCGTGGCCTGGCGGAGCGGGCAACCGCCAAGCAGGAAGCGGCAAGAGGGCAACACCGGCGGCGGTGCAGGTGCGGCTGCTGCTGCTTGAGGCCGGTACTGTTGCAACTCGGTTTGCATGCCACCTGTGCGTGTGAAGCAAGTACAACGTATCTTGGCCATGCTCACATGCAGGCGCGCAGTCTTGAGGAATTGGCGGCAGCAGTCCCGGCGCCAGGCCCTGCTGGCTCGGTGTGGTGCCGCCCTGGCAGCAAAGACCACCAGCACTGTGCTCAGGGTGCACCTGCGAGCCTGGCGCGCCGCCACACGGCACCGATGCGATGGGCGGGACAAGATGCAGCGGTGCCTTGCAAAGATGATGAACCGGCAGGTCAGCCGCAGCTTCAGCCGATGGCGCGAGCTGGTGATGAAGTGGCAGGCAGCTCGCTGGTGTGCTGCTCGTCTGGCCCACCGCCTGCTGGCAGCCGCATGGCAGCACTGGCGCACCAGGGTGGCTGAGTGGGGCGCCAAGCGGGCCCGCCTGGAGCGTTGCATCATCCTGCTGAGGTGAGCAGCCTTGAAAGCAATGTTGTGCCTGATGGGATGTCTGCACCCTGAGGGCTGCCCTATTGGGCGCCACACAGAGCTCCCCTTGGCGTCTTGGTTCGCAGGCATGGAGTGCTTGCACGAGCTTGGCGGGCCTGGCAGCACGCCGTGGCCCAGCGCCGACGCAAGGCTGCCCGCCTGCACATCGTGCTGCAGCACTGGAGCGCCGCCCATGCTGCCGCTGCATTCCGGGGATGGAGGCAGGCGGTGGGCAGAGCTCAGGTGCTGCGCAGCAAGGCTGGGGTGGTCCTGGCACGCTGGCAGCACCTGCAGCTGGCCTCGGCGCTGGCGGCATGGAGGGAGGCGCATGCATTGCGCCTGGGAAAGGTGCACGTGTTGCAGGCGTGTGTGGCGCGGCTGCGGCACGGCGCTGCTGTGCGGGCGCTGGGCGCCTGGCGAGCAGCCGTGGCCAGGAGGGCGCAGCTGCACTCTGTGGGCGACCGCACAATCCGCCGGCTGGCACACCTGTCGCTGGCGAGGGGCCTCAGCCAGGTGGGTGGGCTGGACCTTCTGGCAGTGTGAGCACCTCGGCTGCCAAGAGCCACCACGCCTCTCTCTGCTTGCTGCCCTGGCCTGGCTGCCACCCATGCTCACAGCCCTTGCGTGCAGTGGAGAGCTTATGCGGCATTCAAGACTGCCCGCCGTGCCACAGTCGAAGCCTTCCAGCCTCGACGGCAGGCCCGCATGGCCCGGGAGAGCCTGGCTGCCTGGCAGGCGGCTGCGGCAGAGGAGGCCAGCATTCGTGCCGTGGCGACGCGCCTTTGCCATGGCACCGCCATCCGTGCCCTTCAGCACTGGCATGTGAGTGGGGAGCATGGCACGCAGACAGGCCGGGAGGCAGGGATTGGGGCTGCTGCCTCTCAAACGGCTAGCTGACACCCCAAACTGCCTCCTGCCTCCTTCCCTGCCTCGCCAGATCACCACCCAAGAGCGAGCCCGCCTGCGTGCCTGCATGGGGCAGGTGGCAGCCCGAATGGCGCACCACACCGCCGCCAAGGCGCTGTCACGCTGGCGCAGCTGGCTGGCACAGCGTCGCCACAAGGCCGGGAGGCTGCAGCTTGCCGTGGCCGCCTGGCGCAGCTGCCAGCTGCGTGCCGCTTTGGGCGGCTGGCGGCAGCGGGTGGAGCTCCGGCATCAGCAGATGCTCCGGCTGCAGCACGCTGTGCGGTCCCTGCTTGGCTTCCGGCTGCTTGCGGCGTGGCGGGGCTGGCAGCGCTTTGTGCAGGCAAGGCGTGTTGCAGCATCCAAGCTGCTGCTGGCTGTTCAGCTATGGCAGCGCAGCCACCTGCTCAAGGCTTTCAGGAGGTGGCAGGCGCGTCATGCTGCTTGGAGGGAGCGCAGCCAGAAGCTGAGCCTGGCAATGGCACGGTGGCATGCTGCCAGCCTGAGCGCTGCCTGGCAGGCGTGGGCCTCGTTTGTGGCAGCACGCCGTGCTGGCAAAGCGCAGCTGGCGGCTGCGGCTGGCAGGCTGCTCAACGTGCGTGCAGCAGCAGCCTTTGCTGCCTGGCGTTCCTTTGCAAGCACAAGGAGGGAGGTGGGGGCCAAACTACAGGCGGCTGTTGGTTACTGGTACAATACGCATCTGGCAGCAGCATTCAGAGGGTGGCAGCAGCGCACCTGGGCTCGGCAAGACAGCAGGGCCAAGCTCGGAAATGCTCTGGCTCACCTTACAAACAGGAGCCTGACAGCAGCTTTCAGCACATGGCGCCTGGCTGCCGAGCACAGGTCCAGCACACGTGGTAAGCTGGAGGGCTGTGTCGCCAGGCTGAGGAGCAGGACGCTGTGGGCCGGCTTCAACACCTGGCGGCTGGCGGCGGCTGCGCAGCAGGCGCGGGTGGCCAAGCTGCTGGTGGCAGCCAAGCGCTGGCACCAGCCGTTGCTGTCCAGTGCCTTTGTTGCCTGGGTGGAGCACATCAGGACCAGGAAGGCAGCAGCAGGCCAGCTAGAGACGGCTATCGGGCATTGGCTGCTCACAGCGCTAGGTTCGGCATTCAACACCTGGCGCTACCAGGTACGTGCAGGGTTGGCGGCACACCTGGGCAGCACCTGGATCTCGCTGTGCTTAGATACAGGCATGAATGGTACAGGTATGGAAGGTCAGAGCTGTGCACAAGGCGGCGGTGTTCTTCCAGAGCCATGCCACTGTGAAGGCATTCCAGGTGGGGAGGTCGCTGAGTGGATTTGTCTTGGGGTGACTCTTGAATCGGTTTCCCTGCCTTCCCATGCGTCTGTCACCCACTGCTGTGTTGCTGTGCAGACCTGGCGGGCACACTGTGCACGGCAGAAGGAGCTTGGGCACGTGCTGCAGGTGGTGGTGGCGCGCTGGTGCAGCAGGCAGATGGCGGCTGCATTCGCTGGTGAGCAAAGGACCCGCCAGACCCGACCTGCCGCTTGTCGGGCAGAACGCATGCGCCTGCACCGGACATATCACTCAGGTGTGCATGCCGCTGAAAGGTGCCTTCCTTGCTTCTCCATGCTACAGCCTGGCGAGAGGCCACGCAGCGCCGCACGCACCAGCGGCGAGTGGTGGAGGCAGCCCTGGGGCGCCTACGCCGCCGCGAGCTTTGCCTGGCCTTTGCGCGCTTCCGGGAGGGCGTGTCGGAGCAGCGGCAGAGGGGCCACCAGCTCATGCGGGCTGTGGACCTGTGGAGGGGCGCAGCCCAGCGTGCGGCCTGGGACTGCTGGCGCCAAGCCCTGCACCTCCAGCGGGTCAAGAAGCAGCAGCTAGGGGCGGCGGTGGCTCTGTGGCAGCACGCCATGCTCCACGGCGCCTGGGCCACCTGGCTGGCACACTGCGAATTCCGGCGGCACGCCAGGGCGGTGGTGCTGCGGTTCATGCATCAGAGCACGGCACGGGCATTCGCGTCCTGGCGTGCCTTCTGCACCTGGCGGGCCCAGCTTGCCACCCGCCAGGCAGTGGCTGTGCAGCGCTGGCAGAGCCGAGCGCTGGCGTCTGCATTCTCAGGTGCGCTGACTTGTGGCAGGCTCTAGGGGCTGAGGCTGTGGCTGAGATGGCTGGGTGGCCACTCTGTGGGCTGTCATCCCGTTCAGCCCCGGGGCCCATCAGCTGGCCATGCCTAGGTCTGCCTGCCCCTGCCCATATGCCTGCAGGCTGGAGGGCTGCCCTGGCAGCACGCCAACTGCACCGCCGGCAGCTGGAGGCGGCGGTGGGATGGTGGATGCAGGGCACTCTGTCTCGGGCCTTCCAGCGCTACCGTGGTGCGGTGGCGGAGCAGCAAGCCCTGCGCCGCGCCCTGACCCGCTTCAGGCACGCCGCGCTTTCCAAGGCCTGGTGCAGCTGGCGATGGTTTGTGGCTCGCCGGGCTGAGCGGCGGGGCAGGGTGGAAGCCTGCCTGCTCCGGCTGCTGCACCGGCAGCAGGCGCTGGCCTGGAGTCAGTGGTGCAGCTATGTGCGGCATCGGCGCTACAAGGCTGCTGCCGACGCGTACCACCAGCGCCACCTGCTGACTGCCTCCCTGGCCGCCCTGAGGCGCCCGCTGGAGCTCAAGCCTCGGGCCGAGGCCTGCCTGCGCCGGCTGCTCCACCGGCGGCTTGCGTCGGCGTTTGCCGGGTGGCGCATGAATGTCGCAGCCAGCGCAGAGGTGGCTGCCCGGGCGGACGAGCTCGCGCGTGGCGTGGTGCTGCGCATATGCAACCAGCTGCTGGCCCGCGCCTTTGCCAGCCTGAGGCAGCACGTGCGGCGGAACCAGCGGCTGCGTCAGGTACTGCTCCGCATCCAGCGCCGCCACCTGCTGGCAGCGCTGCGCACCTGGCACTCGGCGGCCGCCACCTCGGCCGAGCGCCGCTTTGCTCTGGAGCAGGTTGCGCAGGCGGAGGGCCGCGGCCGCCCCTCCCCCAAGAAACTGGTGTTTGTGCTGCGGGGACAGCACGAGCTGGCGCTGATGATGCAAGCGCTCAACAGGTGGCGGGCTGTGCTGGCCGGCCAGCGCCTCCACCGCGCCCTCATCCTGCGTGCCTACAAACATCTCTACTACTCGCTGGCCCGCCACTGCTTTGCCACCCTGCGGTGAGGGGCCCTGGCTGTAGCTGCCCCTGGCCAGCAGCTTGCAGCCTGGAAAGTGCAGGCCTGGCGCAGCCTCTTACCCTGCAGCGCTGCTTCCGCCTTGTCTACCCACCATCTGGTGTGCAGGAACCACGCCCAGCGGCGGCGCCAGCTGCGCGCGGCGGTGGCGGCCTTCAGCCACAGCTGCCAGCGGCGGGCGTGGCTGTCGTGGAGGGACCACGCCTGGCGCAGGCAGGCCAAGTCGGCGCGGCTGCAGCAGGCGGCGAGCTTCTGGGCGGGCAACACGGCAGCGCAGGCCTGGTACGGGTGGCGGGCTGTGGCCGCCGCCTGCAGGTGCCACAGGGCATGGAACGATGCGGCAGCGCAGCACTACTGCTGGCAGCTGCAGCGGAGGGCGCTGCTGGCGCTGGTGGTGCGGATGGTGCGCCGGCGGGAGCAGGAGGCGCTTGAGTACCGGGCGGTGGGCCACATGCAGGGCTACAGGTGCGGGGGAACAGCTTGTGCCGCGCCTTGGCTGCCATCTTGACCGTGGTGCAACTGCGACCACGGTTGCTTTCCAGCCAACCTGCGCCAGAGCGCTGCGGGCCGAAAAAACCGTGCCCTGCAGGCTGGCGCTCGCCTTTGGCGCCTGGCGTGGGGCTGCTGAGTATGCTGGCCGGCTGCGCAGGGCGGCACAGCAGGTGGCGGCCAGGACCAGCCTGGGCGCGGCGCAGCGCATCGTCATGCTGTGGAGGTGGTGGGCTGCACGGCAGCGCTACCTGCGCCAGGTGGGTGGGTGGGTAGGCACCCATTCAAGCCTCACATGGCATGCTAGCTGTGCTGGGGGTGCAGCCACTGCCTGGTGGCCTCCCAGGGTGTGCTGTGCCCGCTGGCGCCGCAGGTGGCCCACAGCTTCCACCAGCGACGGCTGTGGTGGAGCATGCGGGCGTGGCGCGAGGCGGCGCGCCTGTCTGTGCGCCTGCGAGCGATCGCCCAGGTGGCACAGAACTGGTGCTTGAGCAGGACATCAGGCCAGGTGTGGGGGAGGGATATTGAACAGGTGGTATGGGACTGTCTCTTCATATTGACTGCAAAGAGTGCAGGCACGCATCAGAACAACATCCCCCTGGCTCCCTCTGCCCTTCCATCCTGCAGGTGTTTGCGGCATGGCGGTTTCAGGCACCGCTGGAGAAGCGCCAGCGTGAGCTGCTGGGGGTGGCAGCCGCACGCCTACACCACCGGGCCCTGCTGTCTGCATGGAACGCCTGGCGGGCGGCAGCGGCTGCCCGCAAGGCGCTCAGGAGCCGAGGGGTTGCTGTGCTGCTGCGCATGAAGCATCTCAGGCTGGCATCCGCCCTGGCGGCATGGCAGGAGGCTACTGTGACAGCCGCCAGCAAGCGGCAGCTGGTGCGACGGGCAGCAGAGCGCTTTGCCGGCAGCGCCCTGCGGAGAGCATTCGAGACATGGCGCACCAGTGCGGCCGAGAGCACCGCCGAGGCGGCCGCCACCAGGCAGCGCCATCGCCTGCTGCTACTCAAGGTATGGGGCAGGACTACGCACCCCCTTCCACGGCAGCAGTGTGGCGTCACTCTGCGTTAAGCGCCATGCAACCCATCCTGTTTTCCAATGCGCTGTGTGTTTGAATGCAGGCATATGCTGGATGGCAGGAGATGGTGCACTGGCGGCACAGCCTGCAGCTCCGAGGCCAGACGACGATCAGGCAGATGATGCATGGAGTGCTGGCACGAGCCTGGCGGGCCTGGCAGCACGCCGTGGCCCAGCGCCGACGCAAGGCTGCCCGCCTGCACATCGTGCTGCAGCACTGGAGCGCCGCCCACGCTGCTGCCGCGTTCCGGGGATGGAGGCAGGCGGTGGGCAGAGCTCAGGTGCTGCGCGGCAAGGCTGGGGTGGTCCTGGCACGCTGGCAGCACGTGCAGCTGGCATCGGTGCTGGCGGCATGGAGGGAGGCGCATGCATTGCACCTGGGAAAGGTGCAGGTGTTGCAGGCGTGTGTGGCGCGGCTGCGCCACGGCGCCGCTGTGCGGGCGCTGGGGGCCTGGCGAGCAGCCGTGGCCAGGAGGGCGCAGCTGCGCTCTGTGGGCGACCGCACAGTCCGTCGGCTGGCACACCTGTCGCTGGCGAGGGGCGTTAGCCAGGTGGGTGGGCTGGACCTGCTGGCAGTGTGAGCACCTCGGCTGCCAAGAGCCACCATACCTCTCTCTGCTTGCTGCCCTGGCCTGGCTGCCACCCATGCTCACAGCCCTTGCGTGCAGTGGAGAGCTTATGCGGCAGCCAAGACTGCCCGCCGTGCCACAGTCGAAGCCTTCCAGCCTCGACGGCAGGCCCGCATGGCCCGGGAGAGCCTGGCTGCCTGGCAGGCGGCTGCGGCAGAGGAGGCCAGCATTTGTGCCGTGGCGACGCGCCTTTGCCATGGCACCGCCATCCGTGCCCTTCAGCACTGGCATGTGAGTGGGGAGCATGGCACGCAGACAGGCCGGGAGGCAGGGATTGGGGCTGCTGCCTCTCAAACGGCTAGCTGACACCCCAAACTGCCTCCTGCCTCCTTCCCTGCCTCGCCAGATCACCACCCAGGAGCGAGCCCGGCTGCGCGCCTGCATGGGGCAGGTGACAGCCCGCATGGCGCACCACACCGCCGCCAAGGCGCTGTCACGCTGGCGCAGCTGGCTGGCACAGCGCCGCCACAAGGCTGGGAGGCTGCAGCTGGCGGTGGCCACCTGGCGCAGCTGCCAGCTGCGTGCCGCTTTGGGCGGCTGGCGGCAGCGGGTGGAGCTCCGGCATCAGCAGATGCTCCAGCTGCTGCATGCTGTGCAGTCCCTGCGCGGCTTCCGGCTGCTTGTGGTGTGGCGGGGCTGGCAGCGCTTTGTGGAGGCAAGGCGTGTGGCGGCATCCAAGCTGCTGCTGGCCGTGCAGCTATGGCAGCGCAGCCACCTGCTCAAGGCTTTCAGGAGGTGGCGGGCGCATCATGCTGCTTGGAGGGAGCGCAGCCAGAAGCTGAGCCTGGCAGTGGCACGGTGGCGGATGGACAGTCTGAGCGATGCCTGGCAGGCGTGGGCTTTGTTTGTGGCAGCACGCCGTGCTGGCAAAGCGCAGCTGGTGGCTGCGGCTGGCAGGCTGAGTGAGAGCCTGCTGGCTCGTTCCTTCACTGCCTACCGCTCTGAGGTGGCCGTCATGGCTGTGAAGCGTGCCATGTTTGCCCGCAAGCAGCAGGCAGTGAGGGAGGCGGTGCACATCGGGGATGCCATCATACGCCAGCGCAGGTGGGGTGGCGCAGCACTGGTGTCTGGGCTGGATGCATGGGCCATGCGTGAGCTGCCCTGCCTTCGGCGATGTGACGCACACACATGATGACTGACGCAGGCGGGAGCTGGTGGCATCGTCATTCGTGGTATGGCAGGCACGTACGCAGGTATCGCAGCGGGTGCAGGAGCGCTTCGCTCAGTGCCTGCAGGGCAGCATGCGCTCTGCCTTCTGCTGCCTGTTAGCCTACCATCGGCACCGGGTGGTCAAGAGGGCGCAGGCAGAGCGCAGCACCCAGCACTATGCTGCTGTGGTGCTGCGCCGAGCGCTGACGTCATGGTCGGCTGTACTGGCGGCAGCTGCTGTGGAGCAGCATCAGAAGGAGGCGGCTGCAGATGCCTTTGCCAGCCACCAGGTGGTGTTGCGAGCCTGTCAGCGCTGGGTTATGTGGATGGCTCTGGGCGAGCTGCGGCGCCAACGGCTGGCAGGCCTGCTCACCAGCCTGGATGGTGCTGGCAGCACACGCCGGGCTCTGCTGGCCCGCTGCTGGCAGCGCTGGCTGGTGGCGGTAGGAGCGGCACACCACCGGGCAGCAAGGGCCGGCCAGATGGCTGCCAGGCGGGACGCAGTGCTGCTTCAGGTACGATAGACGCATCATGATGGAAAGGACTGGGCGTTGCAGGCAGCCACTGAATTATAGCATTGCCCTCACTTTGCTCACCTTGCAACCCTGGACCTGCCTAGGAACTCTTCACTCTGTGGGCTGCCTTCACCCGAGCCATGCAAGCCGATCCCGACCCCGGCTCGCCCTTTGCCTCGCCGCGGGCGCCCGATGCCGACAGCAAGCTGATCTGGAGCGTGGCACTGATGGCGGCGGGCCCGGGAACAGCGGAAAGCAGCAGCGACAGCACCAGCAGCGCCGCCGACGGCAGCGGGGCGATGTCGGGTGCGAGACAGGAGTGCCGGGCCTGGCGGGCTGTCGGTGAGGGTGCAGCAGCGCAGACAGGAAAAGGGGGGGCTGCCCGGTTCAACACTGGGAGCAGGTGGGCTGCAAGGAGCCTGTTCCGATCTGGAGCGTTTGCAGGAGGCAGCCTTGAATGAAACAGACGACAAGCAGCGAGGGGTTGTGTGGGTGTAATGAAGTGCGCTTGGACAGAGCATTACAGGGTGCGCAGGTACACCAGTTCACATGCCTCGTAGTGTGTGAGTGAGCAGGGCCTGGTAGCTAGCGTTCTCGTCCACGGCAGCGCCGCCTGGCTTGCTTGCTCCAGCGTCCGCCGCTGGTTGGGCCGACTGCGGCCTGGCCACCACAGCCACCGGCTCGGGCAGGCCGAAGCAGCTGAACACCTGCGCCCGTGCCTGCCGCACTCCCTCCAACGGGCCGTCCCAGGCGGTGGCGCTGACCAGCTCCATGGCCGCCTCCACATCCTGACTGCCGTCCTCGGCGGGCTCGAAGGTCAGCAGCATGGTGTAGAGCTGCTCCGCAGCGTACCGCCGCACCTGCGCACACGGGATGGGGGGGATGGGGAGCGGGAGCGGTGCCAATGAGGAAGGGCAGGTGGCAGCAGCACAGGAGATGGAGCAGAAGATGTTCGAAATCGGAGGATGTTCGAAATCGGATGGCCGACGTTCGAAATCGGAAGGCCGACGTCGGATATCCGAAGTCGGATATCCGAAGTCGAAATCGAGAGCAGCAGAAGAAGAGAGGAGCTGTTTCAATCATTCAATCAAACAATCGATCAATAAATACATCAAAAAAACAATTGAAACCCTAGAATACTTGTTCATTCCACCATCATTCAGTGGGCAGATTTAAAGGGAACTAGCCGACTGGGGCTCCCAACGAGGGTTCGGATGGTGCCGTGGGACCTCCCCACACAGCACCCTCCCGCACCTTCGGGTAGCGGTTGCCCAGCATGCCCAGCGCCGCACGCAGGGCGCCGCTGCGGACCGGCTCCTCAAGGCTCGCCAGCTGGCACAGCACGCCCGCAGCGGCATGCAGGCGCGGCACATCGGTGCACCCCTTGACCTCCTCCCTCACGAGCTCCAGCAGCTGCAGGGCAGTGGGAAGCCAGCATGGGTCAATAAACACAGCTCACTACAAGGCGAGATGCAAAAGCCAAGCGGTAAGCAGGCTGCCTCTGGCACACGACCAGCCCACCTGCTCGGGAAATGCCGAGTGCGGCGGCTGCAAGTCGCGCAGCGCCGTGCGGCTCAGCAGCAGGTCGGCGGCGAGCAGCAGCGGGGTGCACATGCGGCCGCCGCGGCGGTGGCGTCGCCACACCGCCAGCAGGCTGGAGCCCAGCTGCTCCAGGCGGGGCAGGTCCTCCTGCGGCAGTGGAGGCGGCGGAGGAGGAGCACAGCAAGGCTCATGAGGTGCGAGGGAGGCGAGCGGTGGCGAGCCAAGCCAAGCACAGTCGGCGTCGCAGCACGAAAGCAGGAACGATGGTAGGTGCCCGCCTGGGGCGCCTGCCTCCCCCGGTGCAGCGCACCTGCAGCTGCTCCTGTACGGCATCCGCCAGCGCGTTGCCCGCGGCGGCGCCCAGCTGCGCATCCAGCCCGCCGATGCTGAAGGTCAGGCCCTCCAGCAGCGCCGGCTGCACCTCGGGGCGCGCCACCAGCGCCGCCAGCTGCGGCAGCGCCTCCAGGCTGCCAAACTCCTCCACAGGCCGCCCCGCCACGGCCGCCGCCAGGTCGGCCGCCAGCGGCACCCCCGCCGCCGCCGCGGCAGGCAGCAGCTGCTGCAGGCAGGCGTCCGCGGCCTCCCGCATGCGCGCTATGCGCTCCACCGCCTGCCGCAGCAGCGCCAGCAGGGCTTGCTGGGCCAGGGCCACCAGCTGCTGCTGCTGCGCGGGGTGCGCCTGGCTGGCGGGCAGCAGGAGCGGCAGCAGGCGGGCCAGGCCCTCCATCGCAGCCTCCCGCACCCAGCTGCCCACATCGCCCCTGCAACAGAAGGATGGAGGGGTGGTGGCAGCAGCAGGTGGGCAGATGCCCTACCTAAATTGCCTGCTGCAATGCCGCAGCAGAAGGCCGGTGGCGCAGGATGCCGCACAGAGCGCATCCCAGCCTTCCTTCAACAAATGAACCAGGCAGCACCAATACACGGCAGCCCTTCCGCTCACCTGTTGTCAATGCTGTAGTCGTCTAGCGCTGCCAGCAGCGGCGCCACCACCGCATCGCAGGCCTGCTGCAAGGCCTCGGCGGGCAGGCACACACCGCTGCCGCTGCCACCGCTGCCGCTGCTGGCGTCGGCTCCATCAGGGCCGCCGGTGTTGGCACTGCCTGGGGCTGCTGCCGCGCCCTGGCCCAGCAGGGTGAGCGCCACTTGGGCCAACGCCTTGGCCGCGTTCACACGCGTCTCCGCATCCCGCGCCTCTGCCGCCTCCTCCGGCACGCTGGCCGCCGCCAGCGCCGCCAGCACCTCAGCCTGCCGCGGCTCCAGCAGAAAGCGTGGCAGCGCGCCGAGCGCCAGCGCCCCCCCGCGCCGCGCCGCCACGTTGCCGACGTCGCCCAGCGCCGCCGCAAAGTGTTGCACCAGCTGCTGCTGCGCGGCGGGGCTGGCGTGCGGCAGGTAGCGCGCCGCAAAGGCGGCCAGCGCCGCCGCCGCGGCCGCCTGGACCTCGGGCGTCGCGTGGCGCAGGTTGTCCCGCAGCTGGCCCAACAGGCACTCCCGCTGCTCATCCCGCAGCGCCAGCCCCGCAGCCGCCGTGGTCTGCACCAGGCGGCAGATGGCGGGGCGCAGCACCTCGCCGCCCTTGCCGCGCGTCAGCCGCCCGCGCTCGACGGCCAGCACGATGTCTGCCGCTGCCGCCTCCAGATCCGCAGGCAGCTCCACGCGTGCCAGCCTGCTGGGCAGAGGAAGCAGCAACAGGGGCGTAGAGCGGCAAGCGAGTGCATCAGCCAGGTGCCCGCTGGGTGGCCTTCCGCTCACCCCACACACACACACGCTGCCCACCTGAGCGCCGGCAGCAGCTCCGCCACCGCCGCCACGGCGCCGTGGCGGGCCTCCAGCACGCCGTCGGTGCAGAGGGGCAGCAGGAAGGGCAGCGCCTCGTCCAGGAAGAAAGCGGGGCGGTGCGGCACCAGGGCTGCAAAATGCAGGGGCATCGCGCAGAGCTGCCTGCTTGGGCGCAGTGCCTTGGATGGTAGCGAAGCATCCAATCCGCCGAAAAAACGAAACACCCCCCACACCCCACACATCATCTGCAAGCCCCTCCACACCACCACCACACACGCCGCCCGCCCGGCTCACCCGCCAGCGCCTGCGCCGCCAGCTCGCGCAGCCCCTTCTCCCAGTGCCGCAGCTTGCTGCGCAGCAGGTGCCAGGCCAGGGGCTGGAAGTACTCGGGGAAGGAGGCCACATAGGGAGCCACACACAGGTAGGCCTGCAGGGCGGGCGGGAGTGGCATGGGGGGTGAGCAACAAGGTTGACTATGTTTCCCAGGAGGAAGGTAGCCAGGTGACGAGGGCTGCACACTGGAGCCATCATGTTTGCAGACTGGCAGGCAGACGGAGCAGGAAGGCGTGCTGCCCACAGCGGCGCTGGCGCGGCAGCGGAGGCAGCAGATGCGCCGGGGGGGCCCACGTTTTGCCGCGCGGAGACGGTGAAGTAGTCTGCGGCGGTGAGGATGTCGATGCCGTGAGGGAAGGCGCCCAGCCGGCCCACGCACTCCTGCGGGCAGGCAGGCAGGCGGGCAGCCACCACTCAGGCGCAGGCAGGGCTGCACAGGAGCGGCGACTCTGGTGATGTGGCTGCAGGACCACCGCTGCATGCGGCCCACCGGCCCATCCAGGGCATCTCGTGCAGGCACTGCCAGGCAGGGCAGGGCCCAAGAAGGTGCCGGTACCACGGGTGACGCCCCCGCTGGCGCCACACCTGGAAGGCGGCGGCCGCGGCGCGCCGGCAGTTGACCTTCCGGTCGTAACAGGCGGCCGTGATGAGGGCGGGCGCCAGCGCAGCCACTGCGCGAGCCAGGCGGCGGCAGCGGGGAGGCAGCCAAAGGGGTGCAGTCAGCGGCTGGGCAGGGGGTGGGCAGAGGCTGATCCATTTCAAACAGCCCCATGCGACACCCTCCGCCACCCGCGGTTGTTGGCCAGCAGCGCCCGTGGTCAGCCCCGCTCCATGCTGGCCGTCCTCGCTGCCCCCCCGCGGGCCCCGCCCACTCACCGGTGGCCCCCAGCGCCTCAGGCGAGTATGCACGCGCAAAGGCCCAGCACACATAGGCAGCAGCATCCCGCACGTGCGCCCCCACGCTGCAGGCAGGGGGAGTGCGGCAGCGGGGCATGGCTGCGGTCTGTGTGCTGCCTGTGCTGCCCGTGCTGCCTGTACCACCGGCATGGGTCAAGTACGCGCAGCTGCCATTCCTCCCTTTCTGCCGCCCGCCACCAAACACACGCACGCACCCGCCCCCCACCACGCCCCGGCCCCGGCCTGCCTCCAACCTGCAGTGCCCTCGCCGCACATCATACTCCAGCGCCCGCACCACCAGCGGCGCCACCGCCGGCAGCCGCTCGGGCAGCAGCAGGCCGCGCCGCGCCAGCTCAGCCAGGCCCAGGCACCCGCCGTGCCAGGCGGTGTCGCTGGCACCTGCGGGGGGGGGGGTACCATCCCACAGGCAGGCCTCACAGCCCTGCTGTGCTCCCTCCCTGAGCCTCACATGCACCCCAGCACCATGCGTATGCTGTGCGCCCGCCCGCTCCCTCACCCGGGGCGAAGAAGGTTCCAGCAGCGAGGCCACAACATCATCCGCCAAGTCGCGTGGCAGGCGCCCCGTCACGCGCCCACCCCCCTTGGCCGCCGACCAGCGCACCACCGTGTCGCGGTCGGCCAGCCCCGTCAGCAGCGCCTCTATCACGCCTGCGGGAGAGGCACCAGGGCGCACCACAGCCAGACTCGGCATCGACACCGGCGTCGGCTCCAGCACTAGCAGGCTTGGTGTTGGGCGAAACAGGGAGGCGGCCAAGGCTGGCCATCACAACCAGGCAGGCATAAAAGCGCACCTTCCAGCTGCTCCGCGTGCTCCACATCCTCCTCCGCCTCCGCCTCCGCCGCTGCTGCCGCTGCCGCCGCGCGCTGCTGCGCTTCCGCAGCGGCGGCTGCAGTGCCGCTGCCGCTGCCGCCGCCGCCGCCCAGGTTGGCGACGATGCTGCTCTTCTGCCCCTTCTGGTAGCGCCAGGCGGCGGTGCGGGGGCGCAGGAAGATGAGGCCGATGCGTTGGATCAGCTTCACAGCCAGCTTCCTGCGGCAGCAGGGGCATGACAGGTGGGACAAGCACACAGCACAGCATGCCCGGCAGCTGGGCTGGGCACCCGCAGCCGCAAGGACCGCCCGGCGCCCACCTGGCCAGGGCGTTGGTGGCTGCCAGCTGGCTGCCCAGCAGCTGCACCGCATAGGGGAAGACCTGCGCCGCTGGCGCCAGCAGGGCGGAGCGCTGGCCCAGCTTGAACAGGGTGGCAAAGGCCAGCGCCGTGCCCTGCACAGCGGGGCGGCCAGGGAACATGGTCAGCTGCAGTGGCGGGCGCAGGAGGCGTGGTGCCGGCACTGCGCACCAGCGGCGGCACCTCTCGAGCTGCCCTGGCTCCCCACCTGGCACCAGGAAGGATGCGCGCTGGCTGTCGCCGCTGCCCAGCGCCTGGCAGCCCCACCCCAGGAACTCGCGCAGCGTGGGCGCCATGTCGGGCCGCGTCAGCAGTCGGCCCAGCACCACCGCCGCCATCTCGCGCGTGCTGCCGGGGCTGGCCAGGTAGCGCTGGCACAGGCGCAGGATGGTGCCCACAAGGGGAGGGTAGCCGGCGCCCGCTGCACTGCCTGCTGCCGCTGCCTGCCCTGTGGCGGCGCCGCCCAGGGAGGAGTCGACCAGGACGATGTCAAAGGGGATCAGCACCAGCATGGACAGCCACAGCAGGAGCACGTACTGCGGCAGCACAGGGCCTTGTCGCCAGGCGTCAGCAAGGCGAGGCCGTGCCCCGGCAGCCATAGAAGCGGATGCGGTCCTGAGGCAGCAGCCACGCAGCACGGGTTCAAGTGGCGAGGCGGCACCAGTCCGTGCAGCGGCCTTGCCTGAGCCTCCCACAGGCCCTGCCCATCCTCCAGCCGCGGCGCGCCACCCTCCTGCCGCTGCTGCCGCTCCACGTCATCTAGGTGCACCAGCAGCGCCACCACCGGCTCAAAGCTGGCGACGTCGTTGGGGAAGAAGCGCAGCACCGTCTTGTACCCCCTGCGAGCAATGATGGCGCGGCATGCGAGAGGTGCACAGGGGGCATGAGCCAGTACGTGGCGGCCCCTCCGCCCGCAGGACTGTACTCTTCATGCGACTGGTGCTGGCTGGCAATAACTTCCCCACGGCTCTGAACTTGCCACCATCCCCAGCTTTGCAGCGCACAGACCCCAGCCACACACCTGACCATGGAGAGCTGCCAGAGCAGGCGGCTGACGCCACGCACGCGCTGCAGGTCGGCCGCGGCCGGGTCGGCGGCTTGGGCGCGCAGCAGCGCTGCCAGCGGCTGCACCGCGCCCTCCAACAGCGGGTCCAGCAGCTGCGCCTGCTCTTGGTACTTGCTCAACTGCAGGCCGGAGGGCAAAGGGCATGAAATGTCGGCTGGGGAGGTGCAGCAGGGCCGAAAGCGGCGGCGGCGCCATGGCGGCAGTGGCGGTGCGGCATGGCGGCAGGTCTGACAATGCAGTGCAATGCGTGAATCCATCTGCCGTCTGTTGGGCTCACAATCTGGGCGAAGCGAGGGAAGACGGCCTCCGCCTGCTCGCCAGCGCTGCCGTCCACCCGCTCCAGGAGCTGCCGCAGCTCTGGCGCCTCCTCAACAAGCCTCAGACCGCTGTTCGGCTCCTCCTCCACGTCTGGGGCGCCACTCATGGCAGTTCAGTGCCGCTAGTGTGGCCCAGTTTGGCCTCCCTGCCGCTTCCCGCACCCCTGGTCAGGCCTAAAGGCGCACAAAAGTGATCGATCGAGATGGGCGATGCAGCCGGCCCCCCAATTGAACGCAACACGCGATGGCAGTCAAACGTCCCGCGCCAGCAAGGCAGGAAGGGACTGTGCACACTGGATCGTGCACACGTAATTGGGCATGCACGCCAGACACCCATCAGCTTGTGTCCTCGTTGCACACGACATCTCTCCCGCAGGGATCGCTTCATGGCGCAGGCGGCTCCCGATGACGCCGCGCCACGCATGAATGGGGCAGGCGGCGAGCCTTCAGGCCCAGCAGCTGCAGCAGGAGCAGACTTGCAAGCTGCGGCAGGCCCCGCCCAGCCCTCGCTGCCCACCTCCGGCCAATATAGCCAGTATAGACCCCGCGATGATCTGCCAGACCTCCCAGGCTACCGCCTGAGGCACACGCTGCGGGGCCACGGCCGGCGGAGCAGCGGCGCCGGCATGAGCGACGGCAAGGTGGCGGTGACGAGCGTTCGGTTTGACGGCGAGGGCAAGCGCCTGGCCAGTGCGAGCAACGATGGCACTGCCATGATCTGGGACACAGACACGGGGGAGCTGCTGCAAACGCTGAAGGGGCACATTGCGGGCATCTCGGGCGAGTGCTGCTTGCTGGCCGGCTGATGCCTTGCAGCCCCGTCAGCTGGTGCAGGAGGAGGCGCGCCTTTCTGCGCTGCTTCCTGACCTTGATGGCCAGCCAGCAGCCAGAGCGCTGCTGGGACTGCCCCGTGCGCTGCTGCCCTGCGTGCCTCCTGCGCGTGTTGGCCTGGTGCCCACCGGTGCGCGGCGTTGCGCCGCTGGCGTGCGTGCAGACGTGGCGTGGACGCACGACGGCCGCTACCTGGCCACCGCCTCGGACGACAAAACGCTGCGGGTGTGGGACGCCGCCACCGGCGGCACCGTGCGCCTCCTGCTGGGCCACACCCACTACGTCGTCTGCTGCGCCTTCTCCGCCGGCTCCAACCTGCTGGTCAGCGGCGGGTTTGACGAGGTGGTGATTGTGTGGGATGTGGTGAACTGCCGCCCCATCAAGTTCATCCCAGGCCACTCCGACCCGGTGTCTGGCGTGCACTTCAGCGGCGAGCCGGGCCTGAACGAGCTCATCGCCAGCTGCTCCTTTGACGGCCTGACGTGAGCGGGGGAGGCGGAGGGGGGCCACAGGCTGTGTGTGTGGGGTGAGGGAGCATTGAGCAGCAGCTTGGGCGGGGCAGCATGCCGCCTCCTGCGTGCTGTGGGAGCACACGCATCCAACAGTCAGTGGTGGCAAGGAACCACACCCACCGTGGACCCCGCTGCATCGCGTGCCCTCGCCGCTGCCTGCTGCCTGCAGGCGGGTGTGGCACACGGGGACGGGCCGGTGCCAGGCCAGCTTGACAGACACGGCCAACCCTGCGCTGTCCTGCGTGCGCTTCACGCCCAACGGCAAATACCTGCTCACGGGTGAGTCGTTGTTGTTGGGCGGCAGCAGGGAGGCTGTCTGGGGAGGCTGGCAGGGAGGCCAGCAGGCACGGGCTGGCCGGCAGGCGCTAGGAAAGCGCTCGGTGGTTGTGGCGACGGCAGCAAGCGTGCTCACGCCGTACCCCCTGCTCGCCTGCCGTGCAGCCACGCTGGACAGCCGGCTGCTGCTGTGGGACCCACATGTGCGCAAGGTGAAGAAGACGTATGTGGGGCACCTCAGCCAGCACAGCTGCTGCCAGGCCGTGTTTGTGACGCACAGCCCCGACCCCCGCCACAAGTACGTGGCGTGCGGCAGCGAGGACCACCACGTGTATGTGTGGGACCTGCAGACCAGGAAGGTGGGTGTGACGCACGGTCCTGCCTTGGTTGTGCCGGGGTGGAGGGGCTTGACTGGCTTGCGCACAGGTTGGGGGATGCATGATGGCGGAGTGATGAGCTGGAAGTAGCTGCATTCCCTGCCCCCCTTGCTCGACCCCAACCCACTTCACGCACCTGAAATCTCACCTCCCTGCTGCTGCCCTCTGCACCGCAGATAGCTGGCATCCTGCGGGGGCGCCCCAGCGCAGACGCCCCAGGGGACGGCCACTGCAGCACGGTGCTGGCGGTGGATGCGGCGGTGGGGCGCCAGCTCATCGCCAGCGGCGGCCAGGCTGGCGATGGCACCATCAAGATCTGGGCGTGCGAGGAGGGCGGGCCTGAGCAGCAGCCAACGCCAATGGAGGCATGACCATGCATCTGATTCTAGCAGCACTTGGCACTGTTAATTCCTCTGCTCGACTTTGTTGCTAACCGATTGCACACAGCTGCCAACGACACGGCCCTTGTGAATAGGACCCACTCTGGTTGGTGAGAGTCTGGCAGAGAAGATGAGCAGCCACTATTGCATGGTTTGCGACAGGGGCGTGGCAAGGTCAAGACTGAGGTGCAATGAAATGGGTCAGCGGGGAGGCAATGAACTGGAAACAGGAGACAGGAGGTCTGCAGTGTTGGGAGTTGGAGTGCAAAATTCAAGTGGGCAGCGGGTCGGGGTTCACCCTTTGCCTAGTGCCGGGCGCACCGCGTTTCCCAGCCGCGATTCGTGCAGCATGTTGTTGAGCAGGTGCATCCAGAGCCTGTAGGCGGAGGGGTGGCACCAGTGGCTGCACTCGCCCGGCAGGTGGGTGCCCCACATGGGCGCCGTGGCTGCCCAGGTCTGCAAGTGAGCGTCCGCGATGTAGTGTATGAGGCCAGCCAGCGGGGCGTTGTATGGGCCACCTGCCATTGCAAGCGGCTCCTTCCGGAGCCAGGCATCCAGCATGGTGCAGTTGTAGGGAACGGTGTTGTTTGGGGGGCGCACCCCCGACGGCGACTTGAAGTGCTGCGGCAGGCAGTGGCAGGGCGGGGTTGATGCGAGCGGCTGTGAGGCGTGCTGAGCGGCGCAGGCGGTGGGCCCAGGCTGCAGTATGTCATATGTTCTTATTCCTGAAAGCATCTCGCCTGCCCCCTACCTGTACCGGGGTGTCCATCCAAATCATGGGCGGCAGCTCCGCCCGCTGCTCATCCCACCACAGCGCGTGCGCGACCAGGGCTTGATACAATGGGCTGGCATCAAAGGCCTCCCCACCCGCGCCCGGCCAGGGGTAGTGCAGCCTGTGGATGGGTGGCAGGGAAGCCCCAGGTAGGCAGCACTCGGCAGCGTGTCACAGGCAAGGACAGGTGGCACGCCAAGCCTTCCACCGAGACTCACCCAAAGTTGAACACTACCAGGTCGCGCTTGAAGTGGGGCAAGTGCTTCCGGAACGCAGGGAACAGCTGCAGCGGCAGCCCCGCACAGGGGCAGCGGTTGTGGGAGCATGCACTTGATCATCGCCACCGCAGCATGTCTAGCATGTCTACCACTCATGCTCCCGTTACACACCACCACCACACCACCACCACGCATCCACCCCCCCACAACCCACCACTTCCTTGCCTCACCAGCTCCCGCACATGCTCGACCACATCCACCCGCACAGTGCACACGCGCGTCGCCGCCGCCAGCTCCAGGCACACTGGCGCGTAGGGCCGCGGGGTGTGCACCGTGACGAGCTTCTGGTTGTCGGCCTCTGGGATGGGTGGCCTACATGTGGGCAGGGTCCCAAGCCAAGCGAAGCAAGTCACGCTGTGACAGGATATGTGCAGACGGCGGCTGGCTGGCTGCACAGGTGCCTAGCCATGCGCTGCAGAGGTCTCCCAGCTGCGAACCCCATGCCCAATGCGGAGGCGCAGGGGCACCCACGTGCGGCGCAGGGAGGGCGCAAACTCGCGGAGGAAGCACTCCAGCGCGTAGTACAGGTTGTATGCCTGGCTGTCTCCCATCAGCCACAGCGTGCGGCCACGGATGCGAGCAAACAGCTCGCAGGGAGAAAAATCCTGCAGGGCGCGGCCGCCACAAATGCACAAGCCAGCATGAGGAGTGATGCAGATGAGAATGACAGGCTGCCCCTTCCAGCAGCGCCTCATCGGGCATGCCTGCCAATGCCCACTGCCACGTCTGTCCCCCGCACCCGCAGCCGATGGCCCATCGACATCAGAAACCTGGCGGCAATCACAGACCGGTTCTGGCCTGCAGGGTAAAATGCAACAGGCAGGGTTGGCTGAGGAGCACACACCGGCACCAGGCCCGAGTGTCCGGCCTCCTCCCACTGGCAGGCACCCGCTTGCCTGCGCCCCCACCTGGGTACAGCGAGTCGCAAGTGAGGCGCCCCGCAAAATGACACACGCCACAGCAGACTGGCCACTTGTGGTGCTCTGGGGGGCAGTGTGAGCAGGACTCGCTCCACGTGGGCAGGCTGCTCATGTCAAAGGCAAAGGGGGCCTGCTGCCCCGCTCCGGCGACAGGTGCACAGCGCCTGCAGCATGAGTGGCGACCGTCGTGTGGGAACACGGCTGCTGCCACAAACGTGTGTGGCAACGCTGCTGCTCTGTCTCTGCACCAGCAGGGGCTGCCAGGAGGCAGCGGCCAGTGGATGCCCGCCTGCCAGGGCAATGCAATGCAAGAGTGGGCAGCTTCCAGCCGCCAACATGGTGTCATGGCCTGCCTACTCACCACTGGTGTCTAGAAGGCAGCGTGAGTGGGGTGTCAGGTAGGCAAGGGCATCAGGGGCCGCCGCCCACTTCACAATGCTGCTGGTGTGTGGCGGCGACGCACCGAGCGGCGGCGGCGCACCGCCCAACCACTCCACCAGCGGCAGCCGGGGCAGGTGGCCACGCAGGCTGACGGCACCCCATGCCGCCAAGAGAATCAGCAGGAGCGCCGCCGGCCTGTAAAACAGGGAACTGTGCAACTGGGAGAGACGAGACGCCTCTGCCCCAGTCATGCAGCCTGGCTGGTGGCAGTCGACAGTACAGCCATGTTGCGAGTGCTCTTATCGCCGCAGGTGCAGTAGCAATGACAAGCGTGGGAGGGGCGCCCACCCTTCGCCCTCTGTTTGCATCTGCCTGCATTTGGAAACCCACAGCGGGCGTAGCGGCAGTCAGGCCCCAAGCCCAAAACAGCCTTCCTTGCTCCCCATCCTGCCCCTTATTTCTCCAAACACTCTCATAAACTACATCAACGTGTCAGGGAGGTCGCAGGACCGCCCGGCGCAGCTGCAGACGGGGCAAGGACAGTGGCGGGGGCCGGCTTTTTGCTCTTTGAGGCTGTATTTTCAAAGTTCTGGCAGCCTGAGGCGGCAGGATGCTGGCGCAGCGCGTTCTGGGAAGGGAGCTTCATGCAGGCCCAAGTGAGCGCCATGCTGCTGCCTGCAAGCGAGACAGGAGGGCTGCTCAGCGGCGTACAGCACAAAGGGCGCATTGCAAAGCTGTCGGGTCCGCATCGGGTGTTCAAATGCGCCTCCATGTGGCCTTGCAGTCCACGCCCGCCCCTTTGTGGCCGAGTTTCGCTGCGAGGGCCGCTGCAGCGGCACGGTGATGAACAATCCGGGCCTGACGGGCACCCCCGCCTTTGCAGCCGAGTACAGCAAGGTGCGACGGCGCCGGAGAGCGGCGGCAGGGCCGCACTCGGCCGGCGCGCCGTGCGGAGCGGCCGCCGCCTTCTGCCTCACAACCTTGCTGCTTTTGCAAGCAGAGCCCCGTCCCACCCAACCGTCGCCTTCCCTGTGCAGGTCTACAACGACTGCAAGCTGCTGGCCATCGCGGATGAGGAGGGCTTTGTGTCGATTGTGGACACAAGCGCGGAGCTGCCCACAGAGATGGCGGACGACTGGGGCCCCAACAAGCCGCGCGCGCAGTGGCTGGCCCACCGCAACGCCGTCTTCGACATTGCCTGGTGCAACGTGCGCATGCGCCTGCCTGCCTGCCTGCCTGCCTGCCTGGCGGTGCTTGCAGTTGCCTGTGGGCAGACACTTTGGCAGGCACATGCCGGCCTGGTGACAGCTGTCGGCAGCTGCGCCAGTGCCCGCTGCCCTTCACGCCGCCCACTGCCGCCCACAGCCAGCACCGGCCTCACATCCCCTGGCTGTGCTGGCCCCCCTGCCTGCCTCCCCTGCCTGCCTACTGGTGCAGGACGACAGTCAGATGCTGACCGCCTCTGGAGACCAGACGATCTCCCTGTGGGACACCGGCCACGCCGACCTGCTGGCCTCCTTCCGCGGGCACAGCGGCAGCGTCAAAACCGTGGCGCCAAGCCCCGCCGCCCCCTCCATCTTTGCCTCTGGTGCGGCAGCGCGCGCCGCGCCACTGGCTGAACCGCGGGGTGGGCGCCTCGCTGCTTCTGTGTGTCGTGTGCTGCACGAGATCGTGTGGCGGCGCCTGGCAGCGCTTCCAGCCGCTCATCCAACGCGTGGCGCCATTCCGACCGTGCAGGCGCGCGCGACGGAGCGCTGCTGGTGTGGGATGCGCGCGTGGCGGCGCGCTCCGATGCCAACACCGGCCAGCAGTTCCACTCCCCCGTCGTCACAATCCAGGTGGGGGCAGGGCGGCAGAGCACTGCGCTGGTATGCTGAGAGGGGGCCACCGCAGGGCCCGGCCGCTGCCGCCGGCTGCCCCTGCCATGTGTGCTGACCCCTGCCTGGCGTCCCTGTCCCTGCCGCTGCCGCTCCCTGGGGCGGTGCAGGACGCACACGCGCTGAGCGAGAAGCAGAAGCGGCGGCGCACGCCGCTGCAGGGGCGCACGCGGCCCTCCGTCACCTCCCTTGCCTTCCTGCACGGCGACGGCAGCCAGCTGGCCACGGGAGGTGCGCCGTGCCGCCTCGCTGCCCTGCCGCTGCGAGCTTGCCTGTGCCTCCCCGCCTCCCCCGCTGCTCGCCTGCCTCCTAGTTTGACCCCATGCATGCCACCATGCCGTCCCTGCCCGCCCCTCCACTCCCCCGCTCCAGGCGTGGACGGCATCGTGAAGTTTTGGGACCTGCGCCAGGCAGGCGGCGGCGCCACGGGGGAGGCCGCCCCGGCCATGCACCTGTCCCGCCTGTGCGACGCCAGCGTGCCGCACATCAGCCAGAAGCAGCACGGCATCACCTCGCTGGCGCTGCACCCGCAAGGCGCGCCTGCAGCCGGCAGCGGGGCCTGCGCCCGCGTGCCCCTCCCTGTGCTTCTGCGCGCTGCCGGCCCCAATCGCTGCTGCTCCTCGCTGACAGCTGCGCCACTGCTCCTCACCCCCCCATGCTGCCGCCCACCTGCCTGCAGGCAGCCAGCTGCTGGTGAGCCTGATGGGGGGCCACCACCTGGTCTACGATCCGCTGCGCCCCAGCATCGGCCCCACGCGCTGGTTTGGAGGCCACACAGGTGGGCGGGGCGGGGGTGGGGGGCAGGGCGGTTCGTCAGCTGGACATTGAAGGGGCCACAGGGGACAGGCCACCGGGCCACAGGCCACAGGGGGCGGAGACCTGCGCTGCGGCACGTACTTGCACAGACTAACCCCTCTTGCCTGCCCCCTGCCGCCCAATCTGCCGCCAGCTGCCTGCCTGCCGCTGTCTCTGCCGCTGCTGCGCTCACCCCCTCACCTCCCCCCTCCTCCCTCCCATGCAGTCACCTCCTTCTATGTCAAGGCGGCCTGGAGCCCTGACGGCACACACATCATCAGCGGCTCCACCGACAGAAGCGCATACATCTGGGAGGTGTGTGTACTGCATGCTGCCTGCAATCCAGCAGCCGTGGCGACGATGGCGGCGGCAGCGTGGGGACGCCCATAGCTGGCTTTCTAGGGCGGTTCGCCTGGCTACCCCCGACAGCCGCCTGCCGCGCCGCCTCTGCCGCACGCCCAGCGCTGCCTGCCCTGCCGATGCACGCGTGCTGCAGGTGGATGCGCCAGACGGCGCCAGCCCCTACGTGCTGCCTGGGCACCAGGGCGAGGTGACGGCGGTGGCGTGGTGCCCAACCGACTTCCATCAGGTGACCCTCCCCTCCCGCCCGCCCCTGCTGCCGCCCTGCCAGCCACCTGCGGCCGCCTGCCGCAGGCCCCACGCTTGCCAACGCTGCTTGGTGCTGCTCTGCTGAGCCTGCTACGTCGCTCGCTCACAACGTCACCCATCAACCATCACCAAACAACCCCGCCCGCCCCGCAGATTGCCACCACCGCCGACGACGCCACCGTCAGGGTGTGGACCATCCAGCGGCAGCAGCCCGAGGAGCAGGCAGATGATGGCAGCGCGCGCCTCGCCTGGGTCTACCCCTGGCAGCAACAGCGCCAGCTGCAGGCCGCCGCAGCAGCAGCGGCGGCCTACGACGATGCCGCGCGTGCAGAGGCCGCCACGCCCGGCCCCTCCTCGCCGCCGCCCGCCAGCTCCGGCGCCGACGGCACGCCCTGGGCGCTGGGCTCCTCCGCAGCCGGCAGCGGCGGCGGCACCAGCCTGCTGAGGGCGGCGCGCAGCGAGGGCACCGTGAACCGGCGCAGCGCGCTGGGGGCGGCGCGGGCGGCGCGGGGCGGCGACGAGAACAGCCACGCCAACCTGCGCCCGCAGCAGGCGGCGCCGGCAGGCGCGGATGCGCAGCGTCAGCAGCAGCAGCAGCAGCGGCGGCAAGCAGGCGCTGCGCCGCAGCCACAGCAGCAGCGGCAGCACGAGCTGCGAGCGCAGGGGTCGGTGCCAGGCATGGCGGGTGCAGCGGGGCGGCTGCCTCCCAGCACGACGCCCTATGCCGCCGCGGCGGCGCCGCTCGGCGCCCCAGCCAGCACCACCCCCGCCGGCAGGGCCACGGCGGGTGGCAGCGGTCGCCCGATGCGGCGCCTGGGAGACCTGCTGCAGGCCGCCCCCAGCACGCGCCGCGCCAACAAGCAGACCTCCATCACTTGCTTCCTCGGCTCCCCGGCCGGGACCCGCAAGCGCGGCAGCCGAGAGCCGCCCGCCGCCGCCTCCGCCGCTGCCGGCGATCGCGTCTCGCCGCTGCCGCTGCCGCTGCCAGGGCTTGGCGGCTCCAAGCTGCCCCTGCCCAGCCCGCGATCCAAGAGGATGCGCGTGTCTTTCTGCTCCCCCAGCGCCGCCAACCCGGCGCCCTGAGCCTGCGGAGCGGCAGTAGGCAGCACGTGCAGCGCGGGCGGCATGATGATTACATGTTTCCAATGAAATAAAGGGAGCACGTAGAACAGTGTAGGCAGGAAGGAAAATTGGTTGGTACAGGCATACAGTGGGTGTCTTGCAGTTGTTCAGCCAGAGGGCACCCGCCGCGGCTGCCCTCCCGGGGACTCTGGGTCGGCCCAGCGCCGGGCCTCGGGCCCCGCCCGCCACGCCTGCTGAAACGCGCACCACTCCTCCGGGCCCACCCCCAGCCAGGCCGCCCACTGCTCATCCTTGCGGGTCAGCTGCTGGAGGGGCAGGGCGCGGCCGGCCAGGGCGCGCGCGGCGGCGGCGCGCGGTGCGATGCGCCCCGGCAGCGAGTAGCTGAGGTATGTGGGGAAGGACAGCAGGGCGCCCAGCGGGAGGCCCAACTCCTCTGCGGGCAGCAGTGGAGGGGGGCGCGGCAAGGCAGGAGGTTGGGCGTGGAGGGCAGGAGAGCACGGGGAGCCGGCGGTCTCGCCCGGCCACCACGCTGCCAGGCGCCCCCGCTGCCAGGTGCCCCCATCCAAACCCAGCGCAGCACTTGGTCCTGTGCTGCCTGCCGCTGCCTGCCATGCGCGGCGCGTGCATGCGTGCCTGTGAGGAACCGGAGCTTGAGCTGGTACTTGGGCTCGTGCACCGGGTAGAGCAGCAGGCGGGGCATGCGCTCCAGCATGCACCGCACCTCGCCCAGCCCAAACCCCAGGCGCAGCCAGAAGGCCACACGCTCCTGCAGCGGGTGGGGAGAGCAGCAGGCGGGAGGCATCAGCAGGGGCAAGGCATCAGCGCTCCACGGAAGCAGCCAGGCAGGTCGGCTGGGAGCGCGGCAGTGGCGAGCATGCCCAGCGCCCAGCAGCCAGCGCCTCCGCCGCCCCGCCCGCGCGCCTGCAGCGTGGCCAGCGGGTACTTGGCCACGCCTCCCTTGGACAGCACGTGGCGCAGCAGGTCGGCATCCAGGCCCAGCCCCTCGCTGCACAGCACAGCGCAGGTGGAAACAAGCGTAAGCTGGCAGGTGGACAGAAGGCGGCAGGGCAGCGGTGGGGACAGGGACGGGGGCAGGGCCGCGCCTGTATGCAGCGCCAGCGCCACTCGAGGCCTCCATAGCTGGCCGCCCCACCCCCACGCAGCGCAGCGCGGCACCAACAAGCGCACCTGAGCCACTGCACCGTCTGCTGCAAGTGGTCCAGCGAGCAGAGCATGGCGGCAGGGTCCCGCACCAGCAGCGCCGCCACCTCGCGCCGGCTGAGCCCCGCCGCCTGAGCCAGGTAGTCGGCCTTGGCTGCCAGCACCCCGCTGTCCACCCCCAGCACCTCGGGCATGCGCAGTATGCCGGTGACTATGCGCTCCTGCAGCCCAGGCAGCCAGGACGAGCAAGGTGGAGGGAGCGGAGCGGCAAAGGGATGTGGCCGGGCCCCGTCGAGCATGGCAGCCGTGCTTGATTGCGTTGAAGCGCGTCGCTGGTGGCTCCCTAGCGCACAACGCGAGCCCGGTCGGTAATGCTGATGCAGGCCACCCTGCCACCACTGGCAGCCCCCGCCACACGCACACACACACACACACACACACACATGCATGCCTGCCCCCAGCGCCAGCCGCCCCCGCTGGCCCCACACCTGCGGCAGCCCCAGGTCCAGCAGGAACTGCAGGCGCGGCTTCAGCACGCCGTCCACATCAGCCTGCAGGCCAAGCGGGGCGGGGCCGCCCGTGAGCGGCGGGCCGACGGTACCAGTACCAGTACCAGTGCCAGTACCGCCCCATCTGCCACGCCGCTGCAGCCCTACGGCGGCGCCCGTCCCGGCGGCGCACCTGCAGGATGAGCGGCACGCGGTTGAGCACTTTGACGATGGCCGGCTGCGGCAGGCCCAGGTCTCGCTGCAGCCACTCAAACAAGCGCCGCAGGCTGTCGGGCGCCGCCACCGCCTGGCGCAGCAGCGCCCCGTGCCGCACAAACAGCGCCGTGATCTGCAGCACATGAGCCCGCATGGGCTCGCCGCGTGAGCAGCTGCAGCGCAGGCGAGGGGTGGGAGGGCAGCCACCCATGCTGAGCAGCCACAGCCACGCACGCGCCTGCCCATGTGCTGTGCTGCCCAGCCCAGCCAACCATCCCCGCCGCGGTTCGCCGCCCCGCGCCAGCCCCGGCGGCGCCGGGCCTCCCCTCCCCGCCCACGCGCCTCGTGCGGCGGGATGCCGATGGTGTGCAGGTAGGCGGCGGCCAGGTGCCAGCGCTCCAGCGCCTCTGGGCTGCCAAACTCCTCGGGGCAGCGCTTCAGAATCTTCCAGCCCAGGCCCGGGCTGAGCGCTTCCAGCAGCTGCGACACGCGGGCCACAGGCGGCGGCAAGCTGAGGTGCAGGCAAGCAGGAGTCGCGTGAGGCGGCCGCCTGCCTGCCTCGGGTGCGCCCCACCCCCACCGGCCCCCGCCCAACCCACCTCCAGCTTGGGCAGCACGTCCCGTTCCAAGGACAGCGCGTGCACGCTGCTGTCTGCCGCCTGCAGCGCTGCCAGGGCGCGCTCGGCCTTGCCCCGCACCACACGCTGGTCGCTGAGCTTGTACTGCAGCAAAGCGGGGAGGCAGGGGAGCGGAGCAGGTTTGGTGGGCAGGTCCGGGCGGCAGCAGCGGCGGTGTGGGGCTGGAGGCGGCACCATGAGCGGCCGCTTCTCTGGCATGCAGCAGCTAGTGGGATGCGGAGCATTCCAGCCGCGGAGCATGCCAGCCAGGCAGGCGCCGCCTGTGGCATGACGTTGAGGGCCTGGGGGCACCGACCTGCCGCCGGAGATAGCCGATCACGTCTGCATCGCCGGCAGCAACGGAGGCGTCCAGCAGCGGCGCCTGCCCACCGGCAGGCACCAGCCCTAAGCCACCCTGGGTCGGCTGCACGTCTGCCGCCGCCTTGGCGGCCGTGGCGGCGCAGCAGGTGGCCCAACCCACCAGCCGCCGCGCTCGCCGTGGAGCCATATGGTCCGCCACACACCACTGCGCTGCCGCCTCGTGGTGTCCACACCGCCTGAAGCAGTGGCTGTGGTCGGCCTGCACGCAGCAGGGCATGCTGCATGGGCTGCCCAAACAAGCAGCTGTGGGGACAAAGAGCGCTGAAAGCGAGGTGGAAACGAGCGCCGCCACCGCAAAAGCCCGCATTCGCCTGCCAAGCTGGCCACCAGGTTTTCTTCGCTGGAGCCCCTCCTCGGCCAAACCGCAGGCTTGATCGCCCCTCGGGAGCACTTTGCTTGTTTTCCCAGTGCAGCGGACCGGCAGCGGCGCGATCGGAGCGGCTCAGAGGTGGTGAAGGCAGCAGCGGGCCTCTCAGCGGTCAGGACAGGCGGCAGCGGAGGCCATCGTTCGTCTGGCGATGGCTCTGCGGCAACTGGGCAGCCGGCTGGCCCCCAGCCTTTTGCAGACGTCGGGGGGGCTCAAGGAGCTCTCGTGCAGCCTGCACAGCAGCGCGGTGGCCCAGGGGGTGGGCATTCCAGAGAGGAAGCACGACAAGGAGCTAGCTGGGCTGCACGAGGGTGCGTCCATGCCTCACCCCTCACCCAGCCACTGCACACAGCCCTCCCCAACCTGTTGCTATCACCTCCTGGTCGTCTGCCAATCCCTGGCCCCGGCGCGCGCTCCCCCGGCCGCTCCTGCCCGCAGGCCTGCAGCGCTCGGGCGCCGACCTGAGCGCCAAGGAGTATGCCACGTCGCAGCGCGAGGCGCCCAAGGACCTGGCGGGCGTGCTGGACGAGAGCGCCAACACGCTGTTCCTCACCGAGCTCTGGCGCGGCCTGGCCCTCACCCTGAAGGTCTTCTTCGAGCGCCCCGTGACGGTGAGGGCGCAGGCGGGAGCGAGGGCGGGAGCGAGGGCCCCGTCGGGGCTAGCGAGGCGCACCGGCACACGACTCGCATCTCGTTCCCCACTCCTTGCCTTGTTCCCCGCTCTGCCCTGCTGCTCACCCGGCTGCCCCTGACCCCCCGCAGATCAACTATCCATTCGAGAAGGGCCCGCTGAGCCCGCGGTTCCGTGGCGAGCATGTGCTGCGCCGCTACCCCACCGGCGAGGAGCGCTGCATCGCCTGTAAGCTGTGCGAGGCGGTGAGTGGGGGCGGAGGGGCTGAGGACGGGGAGCGGAGCGGTGGGGGGAGGCAGGGGGAAGCCTGACTGCCGCAGCTGGGATGGAGGAGGCAGCCTTGTTGTGGGGTCCATGTCTGCAGCCTTCCTACAGGCGTGGTGCCGCTGCCGCGGGTGGTGCCCCTGCTGCAGATCTGCCCCGCCCAGGCCATCACCATTGAGACAGAAGAGCGCGAGGACGGCAGCAGGCGCACGACCCGGTGAGGCGGCGGCGGCGGCGGCCGCTGTGCGGGGGCACGGCAGGCGGCTGATGCTGCTGATGCTGCTGCCCGTGGCTGCAAACGTCTATCTGCTGCTGGAGGCCATGGAGCTGCCCCTGCCCTACCACCTGTTGCTGCACCACCACAAAACAAACTCCCCCTGCCCCACCACCCACACCTGCCTCACATCCCTGCCATTCTCCCGCCCCATCCCCGCCCCGCCCCGCCCAGCTACGACATCGACATGACCAAGTGCATCTACTGCGGCTTCTGCCAGGAGGCGTGCCCCGTGGACGCAATCGTGGAGGGGCCCAAGTGAGGCGCCGGCACAGCAGGCGGCGGGCAGGCGGGCCAGAGGCAGCCGCGACCACCCCGGCCCTTTTTGAGCCAGCGACGGCTGCCAGCTTCTTGCGTGTCCACTTTGTCCCTTCCGCCTCCTGTGCCCCTGCTTGCTGCCCGCCGTGCCTCACCCCCTCTGCCCCTTGCGCCCCCGGACGCTGGTGTGCAGCTTTGAGTACAGCACCGGCACCCGCGAGGAGCTGCTGTACGACAAGCAGAAGCTGCTGGCCAATGGCGACCGGTGGGAGGTGGAGGTGGAGAAGAACCTGCGCAGCGAGGCCATGTACCGCTGAGCTGTACCGCTGAGCTGCGCGGCTGCACCTGCGCGGCCGGCGCGGAGTGTGTCTGCCACGGCTGCCACAGGCTCCGGCTCTCTGCTGCCAGCTTGGGTTGCTGGGTCGCAGGGGAGGAGCCGTGGGGACGCAGCTCCAGCAGGACTCCCAGCACTGCGCTTGCACTAGGCCACCCTCGTCTTGGCCACACCACGTTGCACTCCAGTCTCATGCGCTCCGCATGTGGCGGTTGATCCGCCGAAAGCTCTGTGCAGTATGTAAACTTTGGGCACTCCATGCTTTGGTGTACAGTTCCAGGTGGCAGTGAACACAATATGAGGTGATTGACATGGGGTCAGACAAGAGGTGCTGGCCACTTTCCTGCAGCTGGCTTCAAGGCTCAGGCCGGGCTGCCTTCCTAGTACGCGCGGTATCCGCCGTACGCCGGTGCCGGTGCGCCGTACCCTGCCGCTGCAGGCAGGCGGGCAGGCAGGCAGGCAAGCGGGGAGCATGGGCACAGGCCTGCTCACAGCAATGTTCCTGGCAGCTGCCCTAAGGCCAGGCAGGGATGGGGGCATCGCAAGCGGGTGCAGCAGCGCGGCGCCACCCACGTGCAGCGGCAGGTGGGCCCGCCAGGGCGCGCAGCGCGGGGGGCGCGCCGCCCGGGCGCTCCAGGATGGGGTGCTCCCGCAGCACATGGCTCAGCGCCTCCACCGCCGCCAGCAGCGAATACTTCTCGCCGCTCAGCTGCAGGCGGGAGGCGGCGGGCAGGGGCAGGGAACACAGGTGGCAGGAGGAGCTGTGTGGGCCAGCGACCGAGCGACGGGGTGCCAGGGAGAGGTCAGCGGGGATGAACTGCCAGCCACATTTGCCATGCCCCCTGCCCCCGCCCACACCGCCAGCCCACTCACCTCCACCAGCACATCGTTGTCCAGCGCGCAGGCAGGCAGCTCCTGCGCCCGCTTCAGCTCGATGCTGATCCCCGGGTTCTCAGCCACAATGGCATTCATGCTGCAGGGCGGGATGGCGGGGCAGCAGCTGGTTGTAGCCGAGCGGGCAGAGTGGGATTCGAATGAGCAGAGCGCACAGCGAGGGGCAGCGATGCCACTGGGGAGGGCAGGTGGGAGGCAAAGCCCAGCTGGCGGGCGCAGCAGCAGCCATTGCAGGCAGCGGAGCATCGCCTGCCCAGCTCGCCCTCCCGGCGTGCCGCCCCGCGCGAGCGGGGCGGCACTCACTTGTCCATCACTCCCGCCTCCTGCGTGCGGCTGATCAGCAGGCGTGCGCTCATGGGCTGACCCATGGGCGCATTCTCCTGGAACACCACGCGCCGCACACAGTCCACAAGCGCCTCCTGCACGCCAAGCAGCCGCACGCCACCAACGGGGCCAGCCTGTCAAGGAGGCCAGCATGTTGAGCAGCAGGGAATGGCTGGCCTTGGCGCTCACTGGCCCAAGCATCAGCATCAGAGCTGTGCCAGCCAGGCATCCAGCCAGCCAGCAACATCATCAGGGCAGCGCCCCATCTCAACGGCCGGTCAATAATGGAGGAGCAGCACTAGTCACAGCCCCCGCATGCACACATGCCCCTGTGGCAGGGCCTGCGCTGCCGCCCTGGCACTGCCACACCTGTGCCGTGTTGCGCGCCATGCGCCCCGGCGAGGGCAGCTCCCTGGCCGAGTTCCAGACCACCACCACCTGCTCCCGCGCGCCCGGCGGCTCCTGCAGCCGCTTCACGCGCCCCCCGGTCGTCTGCTCAATCTGGCGCACGGTGTTGCCGCCGCGGCCGATGATGAGGGCGGTGTCCACAACATCCAGCACCAAGCGGTACACAGTCTCTCGCGGTACAGACGCCGGCGTCAGCGGCGGCGCCACGTGCTGCCGCTTTGCGTCGGTGGCGTAGCCAGCAGCGGTGCCCTGGTAGCTGCCGGCGACTGCAGGCGCGCCTGCCTCGTCATACGGCCGCTTTGTGCCTGCCAGACCAGCTGGTGGTGGCGCCACGGCTGGGTGAGCCGCAGAGGGTGGCATAATGTGAGGACCTGCCGGAGCGGCGTAGCCGGCGCCGGCTGCCGGCGGTGGGCCAACTGCGGCTGCTGGCGCTGGCGCAACAGGCTGCTGCTGCTGCTGCTCTGCGACACCATGCATTCCGCCGTGTTGAGCCGCAGCAGCCTGTAGTGCGGCTTGCTGCTCCATGGGCCGACAGCGAGATGATGTGGGTTGCTTTCACCAGCCGGTTGCTGCAACTACTTCAATCGGCTGTGGTAAATCCTGAGAGCAACAAGTAGGAGAGGAGCGTCGTGCTCGTGAGCTTGGGAAGGAGATGGAGAGGGGCACTGAGCCACTTGCGGGAGAGGGGTCGTCACGAACAATTTGGAGGAAGAAGAAGAAGACAGCCGCGGGTGGCAGGTGGGCAAAGCCCAGCTGGCGGCCCCGTCACCCGTGGTAGCGGAGGTGTTTGTGGGACAGCACGCTTGAAGGAGCTTCTCCCCAACGTGCCCTGTGAGTCCACCCACCAGCTCCCCAGCTCATCTGCCACTTGCTTAACTGCGCAATCTTCCAGGCAGTCTCTATTCAAGCGGTGCAAGGTTACAACACGGCCAGGAGGCGCTGCATCGCATCGGTCCGGCCCTCATCAGGCATCGCATTCAGAAAAAATCTAAACAAGTGCAGGCGCCAAGTGCAGGTGATGTATGAGGGTGGTTGGCCACCAGAGGGGCCAGCCAGTAAAGAAGAAGGGAGTCAGCGTGCGTTTGGTGAGTTCAGCGCTGGCCCGGAGGCCGCGGTGAGATGAGAGAAGGGTTTTGATGATTGGCACGCCCTGGGTGGTTGGCAGAGGAGGCGGCCATGAGGGAAAGAAGAAGTGCCGGTTGGGGCACAAAACTAAGGAAAAACACACAAAAACAGTTTGCAGAGTCCAGCCTCAACAGAGGGCCGCACCCGCGCGGCGGGCCGGCCTACAAGCCGGCGCCAGCCTGCCACGGCGGGGCGACGAGAGGACTGGGGCTGTGAGGGAAGGAGCAGCAGAAAAAAATGAGGCGGTGCCGGTGCCCGATCGCACCAGGGCATCAGCATCAAATGAGGACACGCTGGGGAATGAAAGAGGGAAGGGTTCAAAAGGGACGTCCCAATGGCTGCGCACACTGGGCACAATGGCAGCAAGCGCCCTGAAAGCCAGCGGCTGCGGCGGGGGTACTCAACGTAGGTAGCTAGTACGGCGCCCCTGCCACGGACTCAAGAGGCGGCGGCGGGATCAGGTTTGGTGCGAGAACGGTGTGTGTGCTGGGGGTACGATGTACAGCGGGGCCAGGTGCGGCCACCCGCGGATTGGGGGCGGCGCGCATCCAGCGGCAGCGGCAGCGGCGCCGCGCTCAGAAGACAAAGGAGGGCATGGGCACCACGGCGTCCTCCTCCACGGGAGCGGGCGGCGTCATGGCGGAGGCGGGCACATAGGGCACGCCGGCCTTCTCGGCGGCGGCCTGCGCCTGGTACACCGCATACTCCTCGGGGGTCACAAAGCGGCCCTTGACGCGGGGGCGGATCTCGGCATAGGCGCGGCGCGACTGCAGGCGGGGGGAGGGGGCAGGGCAGAGCGGTGAGGCGCTGGACGGGATGGCAGGTCTGCGCTGTGCTTGCCCGCCCAGGTGGCTGCATACCCAGGCCGCAAATCGCATGCGCGCTGGCACGCACCTGGTAGCGCACGGCGCGGCCAAAGTTGCGCTTCTTGCGCTGGCGCTCGCGGTGGCGTGCCACGCGCGCCGCCTCCTCAGCCTCCTCCTCGGGGGTGCGCTGCTGCGGCACGGCGGCCGGCTTGGCCATCGTGCCGCCCAGGGGCACCAGCTTGCCGGGCTGCTGCTGGCGCACGTAGGCGGGCATGTAGTTGGGCTGCTGAGGAATGAAGGAACTCTGCATGAAGAGGGCAAGGGGTGGTCAGGTGCCAGCAACTGATGGCTGCTGGTCCCTTGCCCACACTCCCGCGGGCGCCTGCGGCGGCGGGCCCTCTCGCTCTGCCGCGGCTCGCACCTGCTGGGCGTTGTAGGAGGGGACCTGGAAGCTGTAGCGGTCGCCGGCGGCGGGGGCGAGGTCGTCGGCAAACGACGGCACCACGCAGTCGACCAGGGGGTCGAAGGAGAAGGGCGCGGCGCCGCCAGGCAGCTCCAGCTCGTCGCTGTCCAGGTCCAGCATGTCCGAGGCGCTGAGGGAGCGGGAGAAGAAGCTGTCCTCGTACAGGGTGAGGGGCGCGGGGGCCACGGCGGGCTCAGCGGCCACGCGCTCCACCTCCGCCTCAAACTGCGGCACCACGGCCACGTCGGTGGTGGCGGTGGAGGCGGCGGGGGCGGGGGCGGTGGAGGGGGTGGCCGCGGAGCCCGCGGTGGCCACCGCGCCCGTGGCCCGGTTCGTGGACAGCTTCTTCAGCGGCTCGGACAGGGCGGAGGAGGTGCGGGACGTGGAGAGGGAGGAGGGGGGGGCGGCGGGCGGCGCCGCGCCCTTCTCGGTCGACCGCGTGGTGGAGTGGGTGGTGGCGTCGTTTGCCGACGACGTCGCCCACGGCGCCGGCGACCGCGTCAGCTAAAAGGTCGTCA